GTGGAGGCCGGGCAGGGCGGCCTGGTTCTGGAACTGATAGAAGCTCCGCTCTAGCATGTACTCCGGATTGATCTCCTCCACGCGCAGCAGATTCAGCACCATGTTGTAGGTCAAGTGGAAGGCAGAGTTGATGGGATCGGCCTTGCCCTGCACTATGTCACGGCCCACGGCCGGCGAGACCTTCTCGTCGATCATCAGAATGACAATGCCCTTGTCGTCGAGGCCACGACGCCCAGCGCGACCCGCCATCTGGATGTACTCGCCGGAGCTGATCCAGCGGAAGTCCTTGCCATCGAACTTGCGGGGTGCAGTGAAGAGCACCGTTCTGGCCGGCATGTTCAGGCCCATGGCAAACGTTTCGGTGGCAAAGAGCGCCTTGATGAGGCCCTCGCCGAACAGAATCTCAATGGTCTCCTTCAGAATGGGCAGCAGACCGCCGTGATGGATGCCAATGCCTCTACGCAGCAGCGGCAGAACATTCTCCACCTGCGGCAGGCGGCGATCCTCGTCGGAGAGGACATCCATGGCATTGTTGAACACCTCATCCACGAGCTTCTTTTCATCGGCCGTATTGAAGTCCAGTTTGGCCATTTGCATGGCAAATATTTCGCAATCCTTTTTGCTGAACGAGAATATGATGACCGGGGCAAAGTTGCGCTCCATAATCATCTTGACGATCTTGAAAATGTTCGTCTGTCCGGCATTGTGGCCCTTGATGCCACCTTTGCGTCCCTTCTGATCGCCCTTGCCAGCCTCTCCCGCATTGGCCAGCACGGCCATGGCTGTGGTGAAGTTATCCTCCTTGAACTGCCCCTTCTCGTCGACAATCAAATGGATACCGTCGCCGCCAGCTGGGAAGATGTAGTGCTGCAGCGGCGTGGGGCGGTAGTCCGTGTAGACAACATGGCAGGGCTGCTTGTGCAGGTGGCAGACCCATTCGGCGAATTGCCGCGCATTCGGGATGGTGGCCGAGAGGAAGACGTAGCGCACGTTGTCCGGCAGCAGGATGAGCGTCTCCTCCCACACCACACCGCGCTCCTTGTCGCGCATGTAGTGGATCTCGTCGAAGACCACCCAGCCAACCTCGCGCATTATCTCGCTGCCGCGGTACAGCATGTTCCGGAGGATCTCCGTGGTCATGATGAGGCACGAGGCTGAGGGATTGATGGTCACGTCGCCGGTCACCAGGCCGACGTCCTTGAACTCGTCAGTGAACTCGCGGAACTTCTGGTTGGACAGCGCCTTGATGGGCGTCGTGTAGATGACGCGTTGCTTGGCCGCCAGCGACTTGGCGATGGCGTACTCCGCCACCACGGTCTTGCCCGCTGAGGTGTGGGCCGACACGAGGACGCTCTGGGAGTTGTCGATGCAGAGGATGGCCTGACGCTGGAAGGGATCAAGCACGAAGGGATACTCCTTGGCCGGAATGCCGGCAAATGGCTGCAGCGGAATGTACTCCTGGTCAGGGTGGGCGGCCACTTCGTGGGTGCACGACTCGGGCGCCTCCAACAGGTGTGTGACAATGCGTGTGCGCAGAACCTCCAATGCGCCGGAATCATCCACATCGGCCACCTCCTCCACATCCTCCTCCTCCTGCTGCTCCTGCTCCTCCTTCTCGGCCACATCCTCACTCTTCTTGCTGGCACCCTCCTCCTCCTTCTTCAAGCGTTTGCTGGCTTCCTCCTCCGTCATCTCCTCATCCTGCTGATGATGCTCCTCGTGCTTTTCCCCATTGGACGCGTCGTCGGCCGGACGCTTGGCCGCCTTCTTGGCGGCTTTGTCTGTGGCTGGCTCAGCCTTCCTGGGACCTGGCGGGGGCGGCTCAAGGCTCTCTGGCGGCACTTCGGCAAAGCAATCGAATAATTCGTCAATGTCCATGCTTTATTTTTATATATTTTTTTTTTGGTATTTAATCGCTGCCGCGAAATTGGATGGTCGCACGACGTTGAGTCCGCATTGACCAGGTACTTTAGTTCGATGATGGGGCTGTCGATATTTTCTTGACTATCGATGGTTGTCCATGCTTTATTTTTGTTCCAAAAGCGCACGCCTCAAAAACATGTGATTTACCGATAAAATATACCGACTGACCTACAACAAAGTACCACATACCAGCATGTGAAGAACAGCAGCCTATCACGCTGTGCAGCACTGGTCCAATCAGCTGTTCGTTTCACGCTCTAAGCTATTTTCAGTTGATTTTGTCCGGTCACACTTTCTCCCTATTTTCACGACTTGCGGTGTTTTTTTTTACATTTAACGAATTTGCGCTTTTAAAGCAAAACAAAACTTACAAAATGGTTGCTGGCGGAGCTTCGGATACGGGCGGTGTCAAGCCCATGGCCATTGCGGGTCGCATGGTGCGCGAGCGTGAGCGCCTGATTGGAATGACACCCGAAGAACGGGCCTGGCGTAAACAGTGGCTGAAGGACCAGGAGCTGCACCACGGCGCCCGCAAAGTGCCCGCCCTCGAGCTGGAGATGAACAATCCCATCAAACGCTTCTACCGCGCCCCTCTCGACAAGCTCTGCAACGTTCTGACACCGGCCCTGGTGAGTGTAAACGTCGCCCAGGCATAATCGTCGCTGCATTATGTAATCGCACAAATCGACGCAATTTTCTCCTTTATGTGAGTTTTTGTGAGTGTTTAACTGATTCCTGTTATGCTTTTTAGGGCTTCCAGCGTGCCTACACGATACGCTTCTGGACGGGCAAGGCTCTGATGGCACTCACGGGCATCTATGCCACCGCCTACTACTTCAAGTACAATCAAAATGTGAGTATTCCACTGGAGGATACCCCTGGGGGAAGCGGGACCGAGTCAACTAGTAGAAGGATAATATCAATGAAATCCAAGAAGCCTCCAACACAGATATTTCCGCTAGTCCCAAGTGGCAGTGTCCCGTTAATGGAAGAACAGGAATCGCACACGCTGTGCAGCACTGGTCCAAACAGCTGTTCGTCTAACGCTAGTTTGTTGTCCATCCATTTGCGCAATGATTTGCATACCACAAAATCTCTCACATTTTCCATTTGTTACCATTTGCTTGCAGGATTGGACCCGCAAGGGTGGCTGGCGTGTGATTTCATCGCGCAAATCCTGCGTTCCCGGCGACGAGGGCTATCCCCGAGTGTCGGACCGATCCGCGCCCTCTGACTATGCGGCTCGAGGCTTCAAGGAGTCGCCTTTGTAAGCCGGAGAACGGAACACGATCTCTGGTGCTTGAAACTTTAATTAATGATAGCAAAACAAATATCGCAATAAACATGGAAACAAAATGTGAGAGAGAGGGGGAGGGCTTGGCAGACTTTTGTCATTGTGGCTGCGTTTTTCTGCTGCGTTTGGGTTTTTCTTTGTTGGCATTTACCTGAAGCCAAAAAAAACGCTGCTGTGGCAGATTGCAGCAGAGCTGATTAGGTCGTGGCTTGGCTTTTGACCGTTTTCCTTTAGTTGATTTTTCGAACGCGAGCTGGCAGCCAGCTGCTGCCGAAAAAAGCAGAAAATGCAAAACAAAAGTTGCAAATAATCAAATTTAAGTGGAGCAACATAAAATATGCTACTTCGGACGGAATTGAAACACCAAATCGTTGTCGAGCAATTTTTAAATTTGTGCGCGCTTCGAAATTTCCCGCAGGGTAGCACTGTTCACTTCGATAACACATGACTGAAGTGTGAAATGGCTGAAAAATGTTGGCAAATCTGAAATAAACAAAAAGAGCACGTCAAGTATAATATAAAATGCTGAACATTCAATTTAAAATGATTAAATACCTTAATGTTTTTTAAAAACTGCAATAAAGTGTAAACAAAATGAAAAAAGGGCGACGCTCGCGTTCAGGTAGAACAGCATAATATACTTTTCAGGATATTTCGACATCGTAATGGAGTGGTATATTTTCTAAATGACAGCGATCGACAGCCTAACAAATCGAGAAAAATGTTATAGGATATAACAAAGACAACAAAGAGGTATATTTCGGTATATTTCTGAGGGTCGTGCGGTATATACCTCGAAGCCCGGGAAATTTTACAGTGTAAATAAATAAATTCAATTGTCGATCTTGACAGACGTCACGAAACAGGGCGACCATTTAAGGTATATTGTAAACTTTTTATATTTTGACTACGAAATTAAGTTCATTGTATATTTACGTTGAATTCCATCCCCACTTCGTATTTTACCGTTGGCAACAAAATTTGTATGGACCAACAACAGGCTGTGAAAAGTGAGCAGTGTTCCCCAACATTTTTAATGGAATAAGCAACATTTAGTACCCTTGAGGGAAGGATGTCCTCGAATTGAGAAAATGATGTAAATCTCAATGAAAAAAAAAAGAAAATCGGCTTTGGAAAGAAACCTTAACAAATTTTGCATAACATGGAAACATTAAGGCATTATTATTTTTAAGAGCAGCTTTGAAAAAGATGTGTTAATAAAAATTGGAAACAGGGTACACAAAGGCACATACTACTGGGTGGTCAGCAACAAATTGTCAAATAACGTAACAAAACATTCTAGAAACCTAAACCTTTCAACTAAATCGTTATTTTTGTAAACAATCCAATACGAGAGTCAAGAAGAGTAGGCCAACCTTGTGGCGAATGTATTGTACAATCGTAGAAAATTGTAGTTCCTCGACTGAGAGTCTAAGTTGGATGGCAATACTAAACAGAATATTGAAATCGAATAAATATGTCATTGACCGAGACCGATTAACCTTCTGGTGACCAATGGGTGGTTGTAGAAAACTAAGAAATTAATTAAACTGAAAGATTTGTAACGCAGTTTAGCTGAATGAAACGGTGCCCATTCGCATTTGTTCGTAAACAGGGGGGATGGGTGGCTACAATAAACATTTACAAGCAGTTTTATTTTGCCAATTTGGAAAAAGTGCTTACATATTTAAAAGGCGGGCGTTCAGTGTGTTAAGTTTGAACAGTCACTCGAAATGAGCAATGCAATCCTATTCGCTGTAGCGATTAAATACCAAAAAAAAATAAATAAAAATAATCAATTGCCGATCTTCACAGTCGTCTCGAAATTTTGCAGATTTGAAATCGTTATATCGCAGAACGTTGAGAATTGGGTGTAAACAATTCTTTGTGCTTTACCGCAGCGAACCTTGGCACGGAATTGGACAAAAGTTGGAGTTATCCGCTAAAACTGTCAAGGAATCTGTCTGTGCTGCTGATGTGCGTGTGTTGTGTGTGTGTGTCTGTGGCGGTGTGTGCAATTTTTTTCATCAGTCAATCCGCGTGTGTTTTGTGTGTGTGCCCCCGAGAAACGGAACGCGTGGCCCAGGACAAGACAAGACAGGCCGCAAGCCTCCAGTGCAGCATTAGATCAGAAGACCACACCAGACCAAGTCTTTGCGGCCGTAGGAACAGGTGAGTGCTTGTGATATACGCTGCCACCTGGCAGCCACACCGCACCGAGTCGCCGCAGGTGCAATTCAATCCCCGAGCGACAATATGACCCCAAACTTCAGTTCGTTCTCGGTTCTGCTCTCTTTTTCGCAATTTCATCTCCTACAAGATTCCGTTGCTTTTAACATTTTTCTTGGGCATTCTACGAAAAGAAAAAAAAAACGTCGACGTCTCTGCTCACGTTTCCGACTTTTCATGTGCCTCTGCCAACGTCGTTCGCCGCTCTCTCTCTTTCTGAAAGAGACTCCTCTCAGCTGTCAGTGCTGTCAGCAGCGTCGACGCGACGTCGCGTTCCCGCGCGCGGGAAATCGCAAACTTTGGTTGTTGTTATTTTCATCAATTTTGTAATGATTTTCGTTATTTTTAAAGAATCTGATTCTGTATGCTTTCGCCCTTCGAATGCAATTAAGAAAATGTGTGGATCCATTCAGATTGGGCTCGTAAACGGGGCTCAAAGTTGGTGCCTAAAACGATGAAATGGTAATCGAGGACAACAACAAAGTCGCTGCGGTTTGTTTGTATCTCAATTGGCGTTGCCACCCAGTTGCTAAATTGGTTGAGTGCGATGGTATTATGCATGCTATTTTAAAATATTAGTTAAAATCGATACCTTTCGTATATTTTAGTAAAAGTTTTTGGCTTTTCTTAAAGATTTTATATATTTTAGCAGATGAGTGTTGAAATAATTGGCTTTACATGTGTTTTTCTTAGGATTTTAAGTAATTATTGTTGCACAAAAAAATTTTTAAACATTTTTAGTTTAGTACAATACAATACGCATCTGTGGGACTTGGAAAAATATAGATAAACGACGAAAATTTATATAAACTTGTATAAAAACGCGTCCTTTTTTGGACATGATGGCATCCCACTCAGCTGTTCTGGACTACCAGCTGATTGCCACATACCGATAATGGGAGAGCGACGAAACACACGCACACTTTAATGTGCAGACCTGAAATAGGCCTCGGCCCCCTTTCTGCCCCTGGTAACTGGCATCCACTTCCAGCTTCTCCAATTCCCTTCCATTCAATAAAATTCTGCCACCAGCGGAGTCGAGTCTCTCTTTCTCTGTCTGTGTCTCAGCCACAGTCACATTCCTTTGTGCGGCTGCTTCGCGCGGGAGACTCTCTCTTTCTCTCTGGTTCTCTTCCAAATGTCAGTTGAGCCACCAGCAACAACAAGCTCTTGCGCTGTGTGGTTGTTGCATTTTTTGGCGCTTCGGATCAGCTTGTTTTGGCGCGTTCCTCTTGCACACTCGCCGCAGTCGCTGCCGCTGTCGTGCTCTCTCCCTAGCTCTCTCTGAGTCGCTTTAGTGTTGCCGTTCCACCAATTCGGGTGCCTGCCTGATCACACTGTGGCCGGCGTGACGACGACGACGTAGAAAATTTTCGATTCTCGAGTGCGCACGTTCAGAAAACCCTTTTCAAATGCCAATTTCTTTGGGAAAACTGCAGAAACTGTTTTTCCCAACTGCCTCAGCGACTGCCCCGGCCGGAGAAGGTAAAAGTATTGCACAATTTCATCGATAAAGTGGTGCAAAAAGTGAAAGAAAAAAGTTCGAATAAGTGTGCGTGTGTGACAAGTGTGTGTGGCGGGGGGACGGACAGAATCGGCAAAGATCCGACAAAAGTGTGTGTGCTGTTGAACGGAGGGCGGGATAGCGGTGTATGGTGCGGTGGCGGCGGCGGCTGTCGTCGTGTCTTTGCATTTTTTTCTGCTACAAATACAACAAATCAAAAAGTCAAAAGTGCCGAAAAATGTGATATTAGAAATTGAGGAGCCGCCACATATTGTCGTGTGGGAGAAATGTTGCAAAATTTTAAAAAATATCTAAATAGAAATTGAACGGATGAAAAGTGTCAAGTGTCTCCAAGTATTAAGTATGCCAATTGGAACTCCCTAGAATGCATGCGGTAGTGAGTGTGTGTGTGTGTTTTTGTGTAATAACAATTGGGATGTGTAATCTTAATGGAGTCTTCAGACCCATCCCTATGCATCGACTAAGGATTTAGGAATTCCCTATATAGGAATCCAGTTCAGTGAACTGCTGCTGCAATTGGGAACAGTTACGGACAGATGCTGCGGGTGCCACACCGCTGATCTGGGCTGGGGCTCTACCACGCTCTGCCACACCGCAGCACAAATTATGCGACGATCGATCCCCTTTCTAATCTCTCACTTGGAGTGTTCCCGCTCGAATTGCACTTTTTCCCGCCATTCGCATAGATTTTGGGCGGTAAAACCAAAAGTGCGCCAGCCAAACGCCTAATTCGCGCCACTTTGTATTTCTCCATTCTTTGGCGCTTCCCTTTCCCCTGCTCACAGACACCAATACACACAGAGGTCTCTAGAAATGCGCTCCGCTCAAACTGAGAGAGAGAGCGTTGTCGCTATGCTCTCTTCTCCCTGCTCACACACTCACACCACGAAACGCGCTCTTCCGTTTTATTCATTCCAATCAGAACAACGAGTTGGCGGTCGCTGTTGACGCAGGCAGTGGCGCTACAGAGCGGTGGCAGCAAAGCGGACAGCGACGCCGACTGCGCTGGCGGGAAAAGTTGAAAACTTGACGAAAACCAAGCAGCAGAGCAAGCAAAGCAAGCCAGAAGAATGAGTAATAAAGCGCACGAAGAGAAGCAGTAGAAAAGGGAGAACACGGAGAATCGGTAGAATAAGCAGTAGAGAAGGCAGAGGCAAACACAAGACAAAGAATTATGTCAAAAGTGGCGCAAAAAAAATATAACATGTATCTTTGGTAGTAACTCTATGTACACACGAGAGAAAGAGAGCGAATGGCCGAGAGGGGAGCGAGTTCTGTCCAGAACGGAGTTCATTGATATTTATGTCTGCTTTGCTCTATTGTTTCCCCCTCTGCTTTGCTCTCCGCCACTCCACTCCACCTACCCACTTACCTGCTACAATTTCTTTACTCTTTGCTGTTGTTTTTTTGCTTTTCGACTTTCTTCTCGTTCTTTTTGTGAGGTTTTTCGCATTCCCTGTTTTGGGTGTGTGTTTTTTTTTTCAACAATGCTTTTTGCGCGATTGCTTTTTAGCATTTTGCTTTGCTCTTTGAAACTCGTTGAATGTGTGGGGTGGGGGCGGTGGGTGGCTTGTCGATGGGGTGGATTTCTGTATACATAAGTGCTGCAAGGTGTCTATCTACAGTGCGAAGATTCTACGTTTTGATTTTGCTATGATCGGATGTTCAAGGGAAAGCAGGAACATTGGCTGATTATAGTCTAAATGGGGATATAAACATAAACTTTTCCCCTTAAAAATTTAATAAAATTCACTTCCAGGAATCCTCTCCAAATCCTGCCAAGACGACTAGGTCATTGTGTCTGTCTATCTTTATTTACTCACCAATTGCCATTCGTAAGCGCTCTTCAACACCTCTGCCCCTTTTTGAAGGTTACCCAACACTTTCCCCACTCAAGTGCTTCTTCCCACCTACATGTATTCCTTCCATCAGAGCTGAGCGGAGGCGGCATCCAATCAAAGGAATTGCTTAAAGCAAGAAAGGCAAAAAAGCAGAATCTCATTTGTTATATTTTCTCATCAGACATGCACACATACGTCCCTATAGATATCACCTGTGCCCATATTAACCCGAATTCCTGGTAAAATACCAAAAATATTTCTCAATTACAAGTGCGGAATGTTTCACAAATATTACACGGACTATAATATCCATCCATTCAGCCAGGAATGGAATCCAACGATGAGTTGTGAGTACCTCCCTACATGGCAATGGCCAAAGAAATGTTTCATTGTCTATAAATTTTGTTGTTGTTGTTGTGGCTGAACTTATCGAAATGTATGCCGCATTTTTGTCGCTTCGGAGGAGCTGCATCAGACAAAATCGAAGCTGGAGGGAGGGAAATCAGAAGACGAGAGTGAGGAGTAGAAGCCGTACGGGAAGAGGGAAGAATCCACAATGATAAACAGTTTCCAGTTATTCCCAGACAAACAAAGGATAGTCCAAGGGATTGGGTGAGGAGTAGGAGGTGGAGTGGTGTAGGGGCGACAGGACGCTGGCCACTTGAGCCGGCAATGGGCATCCTTTTAGACGCTGCTAAATATAAACTAAATAATCAATTGAGCGCGTCTCGTTGTCCTAACGGCTACTTCAAGGCCGTCAATTCCAGGAACTGGAACGGCGCTGGGTCCCAGGTCCAGGGTCCACGTCCATTGAAGAACTTTGATTCTGTCGCTCTCTTTCCAGTACACTGGACTCCACCTCTATCTCTCTCTCTCTCTCCCTCTCTATCTGTGCCTCTAGATCGTCTCTACTTTACTTTCACACGCCGTTGCCCTGGCGGCGCTCTAAAGATGCAGACATATGTACGTACATACAGACATACATATGTATATGTACATACATAAATACGCATGCGCAGGAGAAGACCGAATGAATACCGACCTCTCAGAGTCGGAGGGAGTCGCAGGCAAAGTCTGAGACGGCGATCGACTTTCCTGTTTTTGTTTTTTATACTTTTTTGCGGGACTTGGAGTTCGTTCGTTCCAACTAATTGCAAGACCAAGAAGATGTAGCCAAACCGCAACAAAAGCAACAACAAGAGGAGATGGAAGGAGGAGGAGGAGTAGCATTGGCATTGACGACAGACAGAGACCCACACACACAGAAACACACAGATGCATGTGCATTTATCTCGAGTATCTCTGGAATTTATCTCGTCCCAAAATGCATCTCTAGCACATACACAGACGGGCACGCACTCGGCCAAAAAGGACGTACAAAAATTGCAGGCCCCAGACGACGACGTCGAAGACTCAAGACTCAAGAGGCCTCTCGGATATCTCGAGACCTGTTTTTCAGTATTATGTGCAGACATACAGACATATTTACCTACATCTTGTACATACAAATATATTTTCGTATATATATTTTTTTGCGCTCTCCTTTGCGCATTTTGCGCATTCCTCTTCGTTTCATTTGCCTCAAGTTGCAATGCAGCATGTTTCTATGTATGTACGTATCTTTGTTTGTATCTCAGTTTCGACTCTAAGCACTCTAAGTATGTTGTTCATGTTCCATTTCCTTGTGGGAAATCTTTGGATTTGCCAAACATCTCAGAGATAGTTTTCCAGTTAAATCCGTTCGGTGTTTGTTTGAATGACCTTGGAACCACGAACCCGACCCTCTCCGACTCTTACTCCAGCATCGGTTCTCTAATTAGGCACTGGAGAGGAAGGAAGCCCCTTCTCTATTCAGAACATTATTCATATTTGTATACCTGTTGCAACGCCGCGGAATTCTCCTTAAATCCAGCAACCCACGGTGCAGTCGCCTTTCCGCTTAATCTTCATTAGACGGGACATCGGGAATCGGGTAATCTGGTATGGAATATGTTGTGATGAGTGTGTGCTACTTGTACCTTGTGTGTGGGCAGAGCTTGCAATTAGTTAGTCATTTATTAATGTTAGTCGCAGCTATTATTTGGACAAAGAAATCGTAGGATAACTCAAAATAAAGTCATTTATTTACATGGGGATAGGGATGGGAATCCCTGTCAACAGTTTGGTTAAACGCTGAGATACAATCTCGTGTACAAATGATCGACTGGGTTCTAGAGGATTAATCAACTCGTGTGGAATATATCTGATACAGAATTTACCTATACTATAATCCCGAATTCCCACATATCCTATTTTATAGATCATCGTTAGATCTCACAAACTAATTTAGAAAATGCTTTTCCAGGTATTGCGATTGTTAAAGAGGGTTGAATATGTGTTAAGGGAAGAAGGAATCCAATTAATTAGAAGGCATATCCGCAATTAGTGTGAAAATGATGGCTGAATAGAAAGGACAAGCCAAATATTGTGCATGAGAAAACTCGGGGAAAAGGCAGCCCAAAAAAGATCGGCAAAAAGTGAGGAAAATAGAGAGAATGCATTGGATAAGAACAAAAACAGAAAAATGGGCGAAAGAAAGTCGTAAGAAAGCATTCGGATATGGGGTAGGAAAATAGGTGTCGGAAGTGAATGGCAGACCGAAGGGAGGAGGTCCATAAATCGTGGCAAATATAACGCCACCCGGCCCATATGTCACACAGTCGAATGAAAAGAATATAAAAAGAAGGAAAAGGAAAATAAATGAGGGGAGAGAAGCGAGGAAGAAACAAGGAAACGCGACAGGATACAATTAGCGAAGGGGGAAGTCAATTGAAGTTACAGCACAGCATTGCAGCGACGCAGAGACACACACAAAAATACAAAGAAATGAGGAATCCTTTAAGGGGGGAAGAACTCTATCAACAGCTGCCAGAGCCGTACGCTCCACTCCACTCGGTTCACCTGCCCGCATCATCATCAGGCAAGAAAAGCAACAGAAACAGCAGAAGGCCAGCCACCAACTCTAGGCACAACAGGTGCATCGATATCAATAGACAGGGAAGACAGCGGCAATGGCTCCTACTCGATATAATTAAGCGTTGTAAAACCACTAGAAAATACCAGTTGACGTTGCGCATGCGCCGTTCGAAGAAGCACCTGACACCGCCACAACAGGAAGAGCCAAAGCCAGAGGGGAGAGACCTAAACTAAGGGCGAAGGGCAGCTGATCTCCGGGCGGGCATCAATCGAGACTCGTGGAAATTCTATTAACAAAATAAACTGACCATCTACCTGCCCGAAGATGATCCAACCCATAGTCTTCTAGCTCTGTAATTTGAATATCTTCAACACATTGAAGAATATTTACTCTGCTACTCTGCAGTATGCTAAAAGCGAAAACTTCTTATATTGTGTTTTGAGAAAAACTCACGTAAACAAATTTGTTTTGGGTTTTCGAGACGAGTAGGAAACTCCTCGACCACATGCTGCGTGTGTGTGCTCGGTCGCTGGCTCTCCTCTTTAGAGGATCATATGTTGTCAGATCCACAGCTAGAGATAATACGGGACTAACTGTTGAAAGTCGTAAAAAAAACTCTAGAAAACACGAAACATATGAATCGTCTCCTCCTCATGTTATGCCCATTCCAATATTACTAATTTATTTTATTTTACTTAACTGTTGCTTTATTTTAATTATTTTGTTTTTATTTGTATCATTTCTAGTTACTCTTTTAAATCTTTAAACTTTTTCAACACTAAATTCTGCCTCCGACGAGCCAGTCTTTACGGAAGATTCAAAATTCCTAACCTCAACGGCTTCTCGAGGCCGTACAATTATGGGTTTATATGACAAGAGGTAAGTGTTTCCCATGTGCTTTGAATATCCATTCTATGAGCATATTAAGCTTGTACAACAATAAAGAATACATATTTATTAAGAGTTATTTATAATTGTCTTTCAGGCTATAGAATAATAATTATAAAAATATGTTTAATGTTCTATATCAAACTGCAAACTGATTTAGTTTTTAGCTTCGACGGTTGTAATGGAATTGTCTTGTAATTAGTCTAAAAATGCATTGTGTAACATTATCAACTGCTTATTCAGCATATGTCATTTGAAGCTCCTGAACAACCTGCATACTTTGTTTGCCTTCTAGCCTTGCTCTCATACATTTCCTTTTCCCATCAAAAGTTCTTCGTGACTTCCATTTCCTTTGGAGTAACCAAAACTAATTAACACCCTACATGAAGGCCAAAGAACAACATCCCCAGCAATACTTTTGTCTCTAATATCAAACGATATGAGCGACTCTCTCTCGACTTCCTGTGGCGACAAGACTTACTTCCTTTTTACCACCAACTATCCTGGTAGCCAGCAGCAGCAAACCACTCCACTCTCCACAGTCAGTTGTCTCTCTTTAATTCGTTTTACCAAAATGATGTTTATCTAATAGCATTTTCGTAATTATAAATTGACAGAGCCCTGGTCTGGTTATGCGTGAATGCCCCCTGGTAGAGACTAGAGGCCCGCAGGCGCCTACAATTCCTACTGTTCCTGGATCCCAAGTGCGATAATCTAAAATGCATTTTCACTGTCACTACGGAAAAGTTATCCAAAAGAACCCGAGCAGATGGTTTCGTAGGTGTTAAAGTCTAGACCGAGCGTTCCATTGCGTTCCGTTGATAACCAAGTGTTGTCGCTGCATTCCTATACACTCTGAATTCCTTTAAAGGACACTCACTCTCTCTCTGTCTCTGTGCAGCAATGTCCTGCGTGTGATTAGTAAATAATTGCGCGCGAAAATGTCATTAGAAAAGTGTTTAGTTGTGGGACGGTTCGGTTTTGTTGAGGGTTGCACCCTGGGCTAGGGCTGCGGCCAGTGCCAGGGGGGTTGTATCTACATGCTGATAATGTTGTCATAGCGCACACTTTCTGTGGCTTTTGGCCGTCATTGGGCCAGTCAGTCATGTGTCCTGGCCAACACCAGGACAAAAATTAATTGACTTTAATATGTTTGACCCTCTATTTTGATGTTTTGAATGTTGTTGGGTGGGTGCCAGCGACTGCGCATAACCATAATTGCATAATTGCCTAGTCATTTGCTCATGTCAGATGCTCGTCCCCTCGCTACATCATCACCCATGCCACCCTCTTTTCGGTCATTCCGCGATCATTCCCATCACTTAAGTGATAGTCCATTTTATGGACATATTTCGTAGTCCAGGAGTAGCGAGGCAACATGTGTGCCACATAATTATGGGTATTTGTTGCGAAACTATAACGGAATTTGTCAAAAATGTGGTTATGAAAAAAAATTTGAGGTTATGATGTGGGGGGAACGCATAGCGTTGCATACTTATGAGCGTAGCGTTTAGCATTAAGAGTTTAAGTTCAGTTTAAAGCTGTTCTGTATCTGTATCTGTTCTGTAAACATTTTTTTCAAAAGATGTTAAATGGTTCAAAACATAATCTTTTTAATCAACGGATCTCTCTCTGTGCAAGTTCTATAAATGTACTTCCTGAAAGGATTACAATGCATCATCGGGAATGTTCGATAAAAATGTATAGCATCAGCAACAAACAAATTGGTTGCCCCTCGCAGCTTGAAATAATTTATCATGTGAGAAAGATCGATCCTTTGATACTGTTCCCACTTAATATGCATTGGCGGGTATTCCGGGAATGCGTACGGTCTTATGGTATTTCTCTCTTATCATCTCCGAATGGCAGCGGCAGGGCACTCCAAGATAGTGCCTTTACCCCCAGCTGCCATTCGCTACCTACAGCGGAAAGCAGAATGAGAAACAAGATTTCAAGCCAAGCCGCAAAAGGGAAAGGGAGCGAAAACTTTCACCGAGAAATGACAAATTTCAGTTTGAACCTTTAACCAGAGAGATGCAAGAACCCTGACCCCGTGAAAACCCACCAACATGAAAGAAAGGATAGAGAAAGGATGGATGGATGGAAAAAACTTCATCCACTGCTTGTACTGTGTGCTGCACGTACACTCCATTAGTTCTTCTTCCTTTCTCCACATTCTACGAGAGTAAAAAGCGACATTTCTCGCCATAACTCATTTTTAAGCGACTCCATTTCCTCGTAATTTACTACGTGATTACTTTTTCTTGTTCATTAAACCATTAAACGCGATCGATAGTGGAGGGCCAAACCTTGACAAGGATCAAAACAGGCAGCCTCAATACCACATAACCAATCACAGTCCTCTGGCCAAGGAGAAATGGCTTAAACATTTGAATTTATGTGCAGCAGCCCTTTTTTTTCTGTTTCGTTACTGTAATCGCGTATTCCCCTTTTCACAGATTCCTTCAGAGGAACCCCCGACCTCGACACCTTTGTCGGTCGGTTTGGTCTCAAGGGTTAGATTCCACTTTTTGCTCCTTTCTTCAAATTGCAAAAATTTGCGCAACGAATTGCTTGAAGTGCAGTTTCTTACTTGAGAGCCAAAAGATCGGAGAGTAACATCTGCCTATCGGGGAATGGGAAACCAAATTGAATGGAGGGAAATTCTATGCGCCTGGGCCCAGCCTCCTCAGCACAGCCTCTTGCATTATGCATAATGTGCATGCAAATTTGCCAAAATTGCTCAATAATCTTGAGCAAGGAAAAAGGGTTCACTCCACAAGACAGACAGCGAGGAAAGGCTTTCTTTTCCTCGTGAACGCGCCCTCGATCCCATTTGCAGTTCCCTCGATCAGTCATCTCGATTTCAATTTCCCGGATGTTAAATATTAATGTATCCCGTTGGGTGCCTCAATCTCGAGTCTAGCATCTACCAACCTCCATTCGGCGGAGGCCGTGTCAAAATTCAATGAATTTATGTTTCGTTTGTATCTATTTTACGCCCCTATGTCGGTCGTATACGATTTGCTCGGCAGCTCTCGTATTGAATTTCTCTTTCTATTTTGCAAAAATCAAAAGAAATTTTCGACTAGTCCCTAAAAGAGTGGGGGGCACAGTGATTCGGGATTGGTTGAATATGTGCTAGGAGAGTGGGTTGCATCGGATTTTTTGGTATTTTAATATTCCATATTTCTTGTACATATTTTTATTTGCATCGTCATTTGAGCTTATTTGTTTTTATTCATTTTAAATGTGGACGATTTTCTATTGCAGGTTGATGCACAAAATACTTTCTTCAACTGCAGAAAAACTCTTTAAATACTTTGAAGCAATGCTAATGTATTTTCTAAATCATTGTTTAAGCAATTTATTTTATTAAATCATGACAATCTATTTCTTATTCATACACTTTTTCCACCATCGTTGTACCACTGTTATAACTAATCTTTCTCCTTCTACTTTCTCTCATTTGCAGTGTTTCTACTACCAGCAGCACTGAGCCAAATGGAAGCGTAGTCAGAATCGCCGCCAGCGCCAGCACCGAGGAAGCCACCAGCAGCAGCAACATTGTCGTCGTCGTCAACAGCAGAAGTCCAGCTCCTCTGTCATCAGCATCAGCCTTGTCTTCGTCCTTGGCAGCAGCAGCAGCAGGAACAGGAGCAGGAGCTTCCTTTATAGCACAGAAAGAGCTCCCTGGAACAGAAGTGGAGATGTGCTCTTGTGATAATCAAAACCTAGCAACATCCGCTGCGAATGCAACAACTTCCAATGGCATTAAACGTAAACGGCGTTTAAGCAGCACCGACTCCAATGATGATGCAAAGGTGAGCCAACAATCCCCCTCTCCCCACTGCTGCACAAACATATAGAATATTATTTTGTGTCTGCGCCTGGGTACTCGCATGAGATAAGTTTTATGAATGAAGTTGCATTATCAGAGCACATGGTGACCTCGTTGATTGGCGCAATCTTATCAAGGAAATGCCTAGAATGAGGGAGAGCCAGCAGCCAATGAATGACCTAAACGATCTTGGAATATTTCTACATATAAAATACGCTATAAATAAGCTAATTTGATTTGTGTATAATGGATCTGTGTGGGTGTTTATTTTTGGTTTTATTCAAAATTGATTTGATGATCTTCTCATGCATTCAAAATAATAAAATATATACATAAACATATATTAGCATGGCCAACAAAGATACTTCTGAAGTTTAAATTAAGGTCAATATAATTTCCTTTCACTGATGATTGTTCAAAGATTTTTGAAAATTACACATTATTTAGCTTTATTTTTTGGTAAGAGAAAAACGATCCTAGCGAGCAACCCATTCTCTTTGAATTATTGTCTGACTTTTCCAATGTTTTCTCTCCTTTCGTATGTCTTTGTAAACGATATTTTATTTGTTATTTGCCTTTTGAGAGTGTAGTAGCCCTTTCATGGCTTCCGCTGATGCTGCTGCTGTCGATCCTCATTCCTCATTAGATCTCTAGCCAAATATGCCGTTGGGCACGTAGACAGCTCCTCCTGGGCATACAAGCGCTCAGACAATGCCAAGATGAGCCCAAAAATAAACTCTACTTATGCGGAAAAAGGCTCATTTGGTATCCTCGCTAGAAGTCAGATCTCTGCGCTCTGTGCCTTTGGCTCTCAAGTAGCTGCAATCAAAGCCAATGGAACAATGGCTTCTCTCTCGCTGGCGGGTCTCGTCTCGCGTCTTCTGGCTGCTCTTGGCAGCTGTGTTGGTGCAAAGGATTTTTTTTGAAGTAAAGAGCAGGGCAGCAGCAGCAGCTCCCCTCGACGTGCAATGAACTTGCAGAAATCGAGTTTGGGTTGTTTTTTTGCACTGTTTTCCTGCCGCTTGCTTCCCTGTCAAACAAACAACAAATGTCATTTCATACAGCCTAAAAAAAACTAAGGCAAACGTCTGGCCCCCTTCATGATGCAAGGGAATTCCGAGGGGTCTTGGGCACTAGTACGAGTGCGAGTATGTTGAGCATATGCACGAACGGACAAAGGACAGCGGCAACGACAGCGACAACGACGTTTCGCATGCGCGCACACCTTGAGCAGCGTCACTCTCTCGCTCCTGCTCTCTGCGAAACACCAGGGGTGGTTTCCTAAGGATAGGACGGACCTTAAAGTCAAGGCGTCGCGCAAAACGTCCGTTAGGGCCGTAGGAAGTATTTGAAATTGCGATAGTTATAGGTTATTCATATGGTAGCTTGAGGCGCAGCAACTAGATCAAGACGATGGGTAAGGATGGGTAAAGGGATATGGGAATGGGACTACTGGAATGGGACTCTCTAACCACAAACACGAATGTGCCAGAGAACGAGCGAGCCTTAGAGAGGGGTTCAGCGGCAACGCCTTATCCTTTTCAAGGATCACTGCGTTGGCTGCCAAGTTTTTCCATTTTTCCTACCTTGCTCCTTGCCGCTTCCCTAATTAAATATTCATCGAGACGACATTTGTGCTGCAGAAGATGTTACCGTTCCGTAAAAAGTGGTCGGTCGGTCGCTTGCATTTTGCTACCCCGTCTAGGGATATTATCCTTATGCAAATGTGTGTCCCGTTCCCGCTACCGATACGAGACTCCAGTCCTGCTCATTAGATTTCCGTTAAACTTTTATGCAAATCATCCTGCTTCTCCGCCTCTTCCTCCTGCTCCTGTCGGATGTCATCTGCGTTTGGGATGCATTCGTATACCCGTTTTCTGCTTCCTTGAAATATTATACAATATTTGTTTTGCTCCTGGAAAAAGGATAAGAATTATAGTATTATTTTACCAATTTGTCAGTGTAATGTAAACCCTTTTTTTCTTTCTTTCCTTTTCTTCTGCTCAAAGCATGAAATCGCTGAAAGTTTCCTTTCTATTTTTTGGGAAAACTTCATTGTTTCTTTTCACCGAAACGAGACAGGAGGGAGGGCAGTGTTGGGTAGGGTTGAGGTTTGCCGGGGCTGCAATCAAGTGCAGGTCTTGATTTCTGTCAAGTCAGTTCCGCGGGCATTGTGGGAAATTGATTTCAAGTTTTACCCGACGATCACCCTAAGATTTCATCCCAACATCGGATGGGTTTACACGGACTCTCATGTTCTCTGTAGCTCGAAGTTTTCTCTAATTTTAAAGAGGATTTCATTTAGCTAACGGGTAAACAAGAGTTGACAGGATGCTTTCTGCAATGATCTGTTTTGAGAGATGACAGATCCCATTCGTACGATAACAAAACGAGTTTGAATTTAATGATGGGTAAGAAAGATTCCGCAGCTTTCTATGCTATCGATGATCTAGAAAGCAATAAGTACTAGATAAATAGAAGAAGAAATAGAGAAGTAAGGCTGGTCAAGCAGTAGACAACATTCACGTATTTCTTATTTAAATTAAGCGTGTTGGATAATGATGTCCTTCCCTGACATTTATCATTTCATGTTTTCGTATTCAAAATTCATTCTGCGGTTTATCCTTTGTCCACTTATGCTACGATCCTGCCCGTCCTCCGATGGGTTATGCTTTAATTTACTTTCGTCATGGATCTAACCAATTGCATGATTAATTACAATCCGTCTGCCTGTCCGAGTGGGTTTCTCCTCCTCTCTGCACTCATGTTTCTGCCGGCTTGATGAAGATTTCCTGCCAAGTCACTGGCAGGACAACCGCGAAAGGATTGTGTTGGATTAACCCCCCTGTGGACACACTGACCAGAGGTCAGTTTTTGGTTTGCCTGGAAATATGAGTGTTTGTTATTGTCCTTCTGGGACATGTGTCCTCTGGCATGTTGTTTGCATATCATTTATTACAAGAAGAGCAGGAGCAGCGACCTTATTTATAATTTATAATAATGATCATTAGGATACATGTAATTTGTCAAAGAAAGAAGACAAGATATTTCTTAATATTTTGTTGAAAGAAGATTTAAAAAACAGCCGTGCGTTCTTTGCGTTCTTTGCATGATGCTCGACTCGAGACGCACAAGCGAACGCTGTAAAAGAGAATTTTCAAAAACAATATACATTGCTTGTGCCTTACACCTCTCATTACTGCTCTGCAGCTTCTCTAATAAGAGTCTTTGTGGTTTTTATTGGACTGCTGGCATATTGATTCCCAGAAATCTCAGTTTATCTCCAACTGAACAATTCCTCTCTGTACACTTCAACCGAGGCATTGAAATTAGAGAGAGAACAAACTAAACTAAATGTTATTAAAAAAGGACTTGGGGGAGAAGTGAAAAGAAAGAAGGTAAAAATAATAAAACGAAACAACAATGCTGAATATTACACGGCAAAGTTACACCTGGTCCTGGTCCTGGCCAGGGACGGGGACGGGGACGGGGCAGACCCACGCCAATGGTAAAACGATCGACGCGACGCGGTGAAAAAAAACTAAAGGTGTTTCGGTTTCGAGCAGACGGCAGACGAAAGATTACGACACATAAGCGCAGGACTTTGTAGGGTATGAGGAAGAGCAGCAAATGCCAGCACAGCACAGAGGGAGACCCAGAGAGAGCGAGAGTGAGAGACTCAGAGTGGCAGCAGCAGGAGAGTAAGAGCCACACAATGGGGCATTGAAGGATATTGAGGTAGACGACGAAGTTGCTGTCGCATAACAATTGCTTTTCTTGACTGTTTTGTACTACTGCTGCCCAAAACTGCTAGAAGATTTGGATAAGGATTGTGGCATTGCATCATCTGCTCCTGCTGCTCCCTCCCAGTGACATTTCGAGTGATGTTTTGGGTGCCTTAAGCAGTCAAGAGAGAGAGAGAGAGAGAGAGAGATCAGGTCATCATCAAGTGACATCAAATGCAATCGCAATCACAGGGACAGCTGCTACCATCGTTGACTACTAGACTTTGGCAGAGGAGAAATCCTTGAATAGGCTTAAGGGCAACAACCCAGTTTAACCCTTGTTAAACTTAAGATGCAACCCTCTCTGCTCAGATTGGTCCAGATTCAGTTCCAGCCCACATTACAGTTCACTAATTTCTCACACATCATGTCATAAAGTTCCCAAAGATGAGAAAAATTCCTATACTCCATCCACGCTTGACCAGATCACGATTCCCCCCCACCTCAGCAGATGCAATGTCCACGCACCAAAACGAATGGAAACCGAAAGGAAAAGAACGGAATGTAATGTCCATTGTCTGTGGGATTGTCCATAGGCATTTCTTATGCCATTGCACGCTTTGATTTTAATTACATTGCATCTGGGGTTCCTTGACATGTGTCCATTTCCATTACCATTTCCACTTCCATTTGCGATTGCCATTCTATCTCTCTCTCTCGCTCGCTTCTGTTACCTAAATCTTCTCTCCCTTCAGAAGAGGGTTGCTTGTTGTTCGTTACGTTCTTGCATTTCCCTCAAGAAAGAATAAGAAATTAAATTTGTCATGCGTCTGCGGACCTTCCTGACTGTCGTCTCATGCAAAAAAAAATGTATTTACCTTGGAAATGTATCTTGCTACAGAGAGGGGATCATGTCGTGGAAGGAAAGAAAGAAGCAACGGAAGGCAAACCTACTCAAACAATTAAAAGTGTCACATAAATATCGTAAAATTCCCTCATTTTTACGCAACAAATTATGTGAAAATCTTTAATGAGCATCTCCATATGGAGACGGAGGGATAGACAGACAGAAGGGAGGTTCAGCTATAATATTGATAAGCTTTTACGATGTGTGAGATTGCCAGTTATGGAATTGAACATTGAAACATATCCCCAGAGATTGATATGTGCAAAATTTTGGATAAAATAAAGAATTTTTCAATCACGTAAAAGATCAATTTCAGTCGTTAACTTGGGGATTGCCTATAGAAAACATATTTTATTGCTTCTATCTTGAATATTTCTGTATGACATTAAATGAAGGGTCAGATCTTGAAGTGTTATTGACCCAATCTTGGATCTTGACTTTCGAGGGCGATTTTAAGAGGTTTCCAATGGAAAGACTTTCATACTCTTGCATGATTTGAATTCCCCTCAATCCTACAGAGATCCTTATATGGATTCTTTCATAGATTTGTATGGACTTTCTGATCTTTGCTTCTGTATTCGATCAGCTGCCGTTGAGAACAATGGTCAAGATTCTTTCCTTCTGCCGTAATCTTATGACTCACGAGGGATTCTGTGCGTTTCTGTGGTTCCATTCGCCTTGCTCTACATTCGACTTTCGCAACGCCCCACACGATCTGTCGCTTGGTCTTCCACCCTCCTGTCTTGGATGAAGATGAAAGATAAATTACTAGAGAAATAGCTCCCCAGATTGAATAGATTTTAGGCGCTGCAGCCGCCTCTGGCAGCTCGAGCCAAAGACGGACGTAGATTGTATAAGTACGCTCTCTGTAAATGTGTCTAGGTAGTGATTTTTCCAATGTCTTCGTCTACCTGGACACACACACACGTAGGATTTGTTGACAAAAAATAATTGTAGAAAGGATCCAGGGCCGCGTCAGTGAGATTTGTTGTTGGGCTGATAAACACCCAGAGGCGAAAATGCAATGCAAAAACAACATACAGGCAAGACCCAGGCCCAACGGAATGAACGACCGAACGTCTCAAAGAAAAAGCCAGATCTCCGGGAAGGAACTACCCTTAATAGCCGTAGAGCGGTAGAGCAAGCGAGAGGGAAAGATACTGCTTGTCGGCCTTTATTCACCGTTCACCGCTGTGTGCAACGCTGTCGTGAAAGCAACCCCTATTTCCAGGCCGTTGCATTCGTTGAGCAGGATAACGACGATCAACGATCGGAGTGGTGTTCGGTCGGGGGGTTCGCTCGGGGATCGGCGATCTGGAACGAGGGACGTCTAGCTCAGTTGCACAGCGCCAGTCAACGCGTTTGGTACACACACAATCCGCTCAATCCGGCTCTCAACTCGGACTGACCAGAACAACAACAGACATCTATGTACATATATGTATGCCAAATACATACGACCAAAAAAATAATTGACTAAAAAGAAACACAAACCAAAAATGATACGCTGCTAAAAGAGGAGCAGAAGAGGCAGAGACTGAAACCGAAAAATAAATACTAAATATTTTGAGTGCAAAAAACTAATTTAATAACCGGATTTGAACAAAAGATCGCCTCACCAGCCAAGCAACCAAACCAACCCAAACCAACCAACAACCAAATAAACCAACAAATTGTTTTCAATGTTATAACACACGAAAATTATTTGCACTTTTACACATACCAAAGAAAGAGCAGAACAACCCAAAACTTCAACCAAAGACTGCCACGATAATCGAGAATCATCGAAGCAAAAAAGTGCAATAATAATTGTTGTATTGATTATACCAAAAAAGAAGGAAAGAAAACCAACCAACAAGCCAAACGATCCCACGATCACCACGAGAGAGAGAGAAACCCAAACCAAAACAAAGTGTTATTGTTGTACCTCCATACCTTTATCCTGTATCCCTTTGTGTGCCGTGCCGCCTACACTGCACTCCACGATTTCTGACTAACAGTTTGTGCGGGTGTTACCCGGTCGGTACCCGGTCCATCTATCAAGGATTAAGAATTTTGACAGGCGTGCCCACATAAATTCTTGCCAACGCTGACCGTCTGCATCGCTCTCCCTGATCTGAGCTGATCTGATCCTACTTTGCTAATTGTATTCGAGACACGTTTCTAATTCTGCCGCCATCCGTCTGCGCGTGTGTGTGTGTGTGTGATCCAGTTACTGATTCCTGAATATCCTTTCTACATTTTCGTTCATGTTATTATGAAGTTGGAACAGAAGCGTAAATTCATTGAAATGGTAATAATTGTTTTTGGAATAATTTCTATCAATTTTGGTTGAAGATTTGTTGAGAACTTACTTTTCCCGTAAGAATTCTAAGAAGAGATCAGTAATTAACTCATGAGTGATTTAAAGTGTATTTAAAGCTGATGTACAGATTAACAGATTCATTTTGAACATCATTAAATAATCATTTGCCTTGGAATATGTTTTCTACTCAATTCTAAATAAATAATCTAAATATTTCTTTGCGCTCTGCTTTATTTTAGGATCCCGAACTTGGCTATGAGCCACCATCGGCTAAGCGGCAACAGCGTCTGCCTGCCATCTATGGCAGCGATCAGAGCAGCAATCTCTCCTCGGTGGCCTCATCTGTGTACACCTCACCTGGCCAGATCACCCATGAACTGCTGAGCATACGCAGTTCGCCGGCAGATGAGTTGCCGGAGGCCACGCACAGTCCGCTCCCCGACAGCCCCGACAGTCCTCCCAGTCCGGATCGCGGCTCGGCCAAGCAGGCGCCCGTTGTAGTGCGCTATGCCGTAGACCAGGCCAGCAGCAACAGTCTGGCAGTAGTGACAGGGCAGCAGGAACCGCAGGAGGAGGATGATGATTTGCTGGATGATAGCTGCGAGGAGTCTTCGTACGGCGAGGAGGAAGATTTGGAGGAGGAGGATGACGAGGAGATTAACTCGTCGACTATTTCGCCAGCCTCCTCAGGCGGCAACCTTCCAATGCCGAGGTATGGGTCCCTGCTATTAGACATCGCATGTGGCATACCACAGCTCGAAGAGTACTCGGGCCTGATTTGCATGTCGCCGGCGGTGGAGACCTCGCTACGTCAGTGCCCCCTGCCGGCCCTGGCCTGGGCCAATGCGGCCGATGTGTGGAAGCTGATGTGCCATCGGGACGAGCAGGATTCACGTTTGCGCAGCACAACAATGCTGGAGCAGCATCCGGGCTTGCAGCCGCGCATGCGGGCCATCCTTCTGGACTGGCTGATCGAGGTGTGCGAGGTGTACAAGCTGCACCGGGAGACCTTCTATCNTCTGCTTGAAATCAACAACACTTGCGATATATTCTATCACATCCTTATCGAGTGTTTGAATGCCATTGTTACTAATGTCTAAGCTATTCAGACTCAGAACTGAACTGAACTCAGAACTCATTCAGAACTGCTGAGCATACGCAGTTCGCCGGCAGATGAGTTGCCGGAGGCCACGCACAGTCCGCTCCCCGACAGCCCCGACAGTCCTCCCAGTCCGGATCGCGGCTCGGCCAAGCAGGCGCCCGTTGTAGTGCGCTATGCCGTAGACCAGGCCAGCAGCAACAGTCTGGCAGTAGTGACAGGGCAGCAGGAACCCCAGGAGGAGGATGATGATTTGCTGGATGATAGCTGCGAGGAGTCTTCGTACGGCGAGGAGGAAGATTTGGAGGAGGAGGATGACGAGGAGATTAACTCGTCGACTATTTCGCCAGCCTCCTCAGGCGGCAACCTTCCAATGCCGAGGTATGGGTCCCTGCTATTAGACATCGCATGTGGCATACCACAGCTCGAAGAGTACTCGGGCCTGAATTGCATGTCGCCGGCGGTGGAGACCTCGCTACGTCAGTGCCCCCTGCCGGCCCTGGCCTGGGCCAATGCGGCCGATGTGTGGAAGCTGATGTGCCATCGGGACGAGCAGGATTCACGTTTGCGCAGCACAACAATGCTGGAGCAGCATCCGGGCTTGCAGCCGCGCATGCGGGCCATCCTTCTGGACTGGCTGATCGAGGTGTGCGAGGTGTACAAGCTGCACCGGGAGACCTTCTATCTGGCCGTTGACTACCTCGATCGATATCTGCATGTGGCACACAAGGTGCTGAAAACGCACCTGCAGCTGATTGGCATTACGTGTTTATTTGTCGCCGCCAAGGTGGAGGAGATCTACCCGCCAAAGATAGGCGAGTTTGCCTACGTCACGGATGGCGCATGTACCGAGAGGGACATTCTGCAGCACGAAAAGATCCTGCTGCAGGCCCTCGACTGGGACATCAGCCCCATCACCATAACCGGCTGGCTGGGCGTCTACATGCAGCTGAACGTGAACAACCGCACCCCAGCCTCGTTCACGCAGATCGGCAAACAGCATGCCACCGAGAAGGCGGCCGATGATGCCTTCATCTATCCCCAGTTCTCGGGCTTCGAGTTTGTCCAGACCTCACAGTTGCTGGATCTGTGCACTCTCGACGTGGCCATGGCCAACTATCCGTACTCGGTACTGGCTGCGGCCGCCATTAGTCATACATTTAGTCGGTAAGTTCAATTGCTCTTCCACCGAGTAGAGATGTGAATTTTCTAACTTGGTTGCCCTTTTCTGCATTGCAGTGAGACGGCCCTCCGTTGCTCCGGCCTGGACTGGCAGGTGATCCAGCCCTGTGCTCGCTGGATGGAGCCCTTTTTCCAGGTGATCTCCAAGAAGGCCGCTTACCTTCAGGTGAATGAGCAGAACGAGCAGGTCAGCAATAAGTTCGGACTGGGCCATGTCTGTCCCAACATTGTCACCGACGATTCTCACATCATTCAGACGCACACCACCACGATGGACATGTATGTAAGTATCGCTCAAGAAGACGTTGAAAACATATGGTGGGCTCTTGTGAATAGTTGCTAATCTATACATTCGATTTTTGCAGGATGAATTGCTGATGGTCCAGGATGCTATACACGCGATGCGAGCACGCACACAGGCCTCGCCGGCCACAGCGCTGCGCGCCCCGGAGAGTGTGCTCACGCCGCCCGCCTCTAGTCACAAGCCCGACGAAGATCTGGGCGATGAGGACGAACCATCGGCAAGCTGCAGCAGCAGTAGCGCCAGAAAGAGCAGCGGAGCCATCAGTAGCTCCACCTCCTGTCACGCGTCCCATCGCGAGAACATTGCCACAGCTGGCAGCATAATGGCTGAGAACAGCAGGGGCAATCGCTGAGAGATTCAGTTCAAAAACATCAAACACCACGCCCGCCCACACAGTTTTTACGTTAAGTGTTTCTTATAATTAAATTATTTATGTTAAGTGAAAAGTTATTAGTTGCCTAATTCCTATGCTAAAAAATATTTAATTTCAAATTCTGCAAGCGCCCCTCCCTACCTTTTTTTTGTTTCTTCGGCTTGATATTTTTTTCGTGGCCTGATTTTTTTGCTCAGTTTAATATTTAAATATGTGTATTTATCCAAAATCATAAATATAATCTTAAATGTACACTCCTAACTACCTACAGATACAAATATGCATAGAGAGCATATAGAGGAAAACTGAATAGACCCTTAGATTCTAATAAGGCAAGCCGAAATCTTACTATATCCACAAATGAAACAATAAGAGATTGGAAACCGGAATGTGTATATACATAAATGTATGTATAAATTAACTGTATGAGTAAATTTGTTGACAAGCGATCAGATCCTGTCCCGCAGAGCCAGAGAAGCAGTCAGAGTCATCCACTCATCCAATCACCAATTAATCATTAAGCCCAAGATTAACCATACTAAACTGACGGAGAAAGCGATGGCAGGAAACGCAAATTACTTGACTAATCAACTAAAGCTAGTTTAAGTTGAGGGAAATGTCAGAACCCGAACCTACATATGTATATGTAGATGTAGTAACTAAACAGACTAATGCTAAGCTTTGCATTTCCATTCAACAATTAACCCAACTAACAATGAATCAAACAAAGACAACAAGTCCACAGCTGACATGGAGTGATAAAGAGTAATGGCATAATTGAATCATACAACATACAAAGCCCAAAATACGAGTACATGTATTTCCTGAATCCCTGAATTGAACACAAAACAACAGAAAGAAAAAACTGTAATGAATATTTAATTAACCATTACATGAGTGCACAAGTAATGTAACATTTTTGAATTTAGACTAATTTGCCATAATTTGCTAAGCAAATAAATCCTGTATATAAAGAAGAAACAAACACACACAAGCAAACGCACACGCACACAGAAATGCGCTTACCGACAAAACGCTAACTGAAACGCATATAGTATATTATTATATAAGTGTAAAATTTCCATATACGGCTACGATATGTTTTGTATATTGAAATATTGAGGGAACAGTGCCCCGTTAGAAAATTATTATTAGTTGCATAGTTTAGGCATAGATAACATTAAGTGTTCATAGGTTAAGGATGGAATGAAAACAGAAAAACCACACAAAAACAACGACTAAAAGAAAGAAACAAAAGCAAAAAAAAATGTATCTATTTATGTTTTATTTGTAGTTTTTAAAGGCAATATTCATTTGATTTTAAAAAATTTCACAAGTACGCTTATACCCCCATTGATTCAATGTCAATAAAACAATCCACACCGGATAACATATTAATAAACTATGAAAGTTATGTTGAGTTCAACGAATAAATAAATTAATTCTTGTAAATACTAATAATTCAAAATTCTGTGACTTCATTTGGGATATCCACTCGAACCGCTGTGACATTTAAAGCTGCAACTGGATCGCATTTTAATTTGAGTTGAGTTTAAGTGACGTCAAGTCCCTTTTCCTCAACAATTAATTTTTAAGCTCACATCGGGAGTATCGCTCCACATATTATTAATGTATTTAAATTACTAGCATCAATATCTAGCAGGGACTATATCTTTAATATCTACTTTATTCTTTTGGAATACCCGAGCATTGCCTACTTTGATCTTGCCGATGAACTTCATTTTCAGCGACTTCGGCCCCGTCAAGGTTGTTTTCCTATACAGTTTTCCTATTTCCGAGCTGATTTCTGTATAATATTAAAAAAAAAACGTTTGTACTTATGGAACTCTTTTTATACCCGGTACTCGAAGAGTAAGGGTCGCGAAAGTGGATGTATATACATATGTAACGCACAGAAGCAAGCGGTTCCGACCCCATAAAGTATATATATTGAGCGCCTAGTACTCAGAGACCATTAAAGATGTGGCAACCAAGTTTGGCATCCAGTCATAAATATTTGAAATTTTGAAATACACTTGTAACACTGTGAGCATACAGCCATCTGGATGCAAAATTTGGTGGCTCTAGCTTTTATAGTCTCTGAGATCCAAGACGGACGGAAAGACGGACATGGCTATATGGACTCGGCTATTGATGCTGATGGGATCGGATACGTTTCCTTCTGTGCGTTACATCTGTATGTACATCGACTTTGTCCACAAATACAATACATCCTATTTACTCTTCGAGTACCGGGTATAAAAAATGAAAGATTAAATCGATATCGGAAAAGACTTGCAAGACGGAGGTTCTTATTTTTGTCGTGCGCTAATATGGAATATTTATGTTATTCAATTTAAAGTGAATTAAGTTTAAAAAGGTAATGTTAAAATTACATTAACAACAAATTGTATAATATTAATATTACTGTCACTCATACACAAGCACAAATCGAACTAAAAATGGTAAATTGATTGGTTTAAGCATTGCCGTTTAACACAGAAAGCTCAATAGCTTCTGGGTCAGGCTCCCGTCGCACTTTACAATGGGGCATTGCATACATTAGCTTGTTCCAAAAATTGGGGTCATCTCTCCTGAGGTATGTATTCATCACCATGTAGGTTTTAAGTTCGCTGTCGAGATCATCAAAACTCTTCACTTCGGGATAGAGGACCACAATCAATCGCTTGCATCGATCCTGGATGATGGCATGTAGAGCGATGCGGAACTCCAGTCGACCCCAAGTCGACTTCAAGAAGTTGTTTGTCATCAGGATGATGGTGCGCTTCGAGTCATTAACAGATTGGCTGATGCAAAGGGGAATAGACTCGCCCGCAAGCCAGTCGCGTAGGTAGAAACATAGTCTGAAGCAGTGGCTACCACTCTCCAATCTATCTACGAACTCCTCAATGAGCGCCTCGTCCTTGTGGGTGAATGATAGAAATGCATCGAACTTCTTCAAGCTGTCGAGCTCCCTTTGGGAGGCTAGGCTCATCAAAACATTGTGCTCGTACAACCATATAAGGAGGGGCTGTTTAAAGTAAATTGCCAAGTTTATAGTTGAGACCACCAGCATTAAAGACATTGCGACAGTTACATAGTGCACCAAGCCTGAAGGGCATAAGTCAATCCCATCCGTAGCGATCAGTAGTTTTGTCATGTCTTCGCAGTTGAGGTCTGTAACATTCTCAATATACGGCGATTGGGTCTTTACAAAGTGCAGGAAATCTAAGTTCTCGCAAGTGCAGGCCCAGGGATTCCCATGCAGAAATAACTTCAACCGTGTGGAGGCTGCTATTCTGTGGTGGAAGTAGTCTTGCATCTGACGATTCAGCACAGAAATGCTATTGCTTCTTATGTCCAGAGTTGTTATATTCTCTGGCAACTCCTCGATTGTAGTCAGTCGATTGTTGGCCAGGTAAAGATGTCCTACATTTGCATATCCAGGCAGGGAATGGGGGGGCAATGCTTCTAGATAATTCCCTTCAAAATAAAGATAAGATTGTCCAAGCCGCGGTGTGGGCAATGGAGGTATTGCCTTGAGTCCTTTAAATCTGCAGTCGATAATCAACGAAGGCAATGTGGAATTATCTAGACAACAAATGCACGCCTGCGGACACGTTCCTGACAAGACGATATTACATCGTTTCAGGACGGCGTTATATTCTTGCGGTTCCTTTAGACGTAGAAATTTTAGGAATGACTTGGACCTGCATTCGCAATTCCAGGGATTTCCTGATAGTTCGATGTTTCGCTTGACGCTTCCTTCACGGTCTCTGAAAAACTCAATGACTTGATCATCGAGAACCTCCAATAGATTTATTCGGAGATCCAAATGTGTAAGGTTTTTGGGAACAAAATGAAATGGAAATTCCCTTATTTTATTCTCGAGCAAATAAAGTTCTCTAAGGGAATCATGTCCCAATGAGTGTCGAATGCTGGTAATTATATTCTTATCGAGGTGCAGGCTGGCGTTGTATTGTATTGAATGCGAAAGTTGAGGATACGATTCCATTTCAGTGTGCCTACAGTCGATCATAAAGTAATAGGTGCTGCGATTAAAGCAACAATGACATCCACCAGGACAAGATTCATTCAGATGATGCAAAAAAACCGGGTCTTTACCTCGATGGGAGATATTACCCAGAAAGTGCAACATCAGTTGGTCCTCACAATTAACAATCCATCGGTTGCCCGTCTGCTTGAAATCAACAACACTTGCGATATATTCTATCACATCCTTATCGAGTGTTTGAATGCCATTGTTACTAATGTCTAAGCTATTCAGACTCAGAACTGAACTGAACTCAGAACTCATTCAGAACTGCTGAGCATACGCAGTTCGCCGGCAGATGAGTTGCCGGAGGCCACGCACAGTCCGCTCCCCGACAGCCCCGACAGTCCTCCCAGTCCGGATCGCGGCTCGGCCAAGCAGGCGCCCGTTGTAGTGCGCTATGCCGTAGACCAGGCCAGCAGCAACAGTCTGGCAGTAGTGACAGGGCAGCAGGAACCCCAGGAGGAGGATGATGATTTGNTTTGGGAACAAAATGAAATGGAAATTCCCTTATTTTATTCTCGAGCAAATAAAGTTCTCTAAGGGAATCATGTCCCAATGAGTGTCGAATGCTGGTAATTATATTCTTATCGAGGTGCAGGCTGGCGTTGTATTGTATTGAATGCGAAAGTTGAGGATACGATTCCATTTCAGTGTGCCTACAGTCGATCATAAAGTAATAGGTGCTGCGATTAAAGCAACAATGACATCCACCAGGACAAGATTCATTCAGATGATGCAAAAAAACCGGGTCTTTACCTCGATGGGAGATATTACCCAGAAAGTGCAACATCAGTTGGTCCTCACAATTAACAATCCATCGGTTGCCCGTCTGCTTGAAATCAACAACACTTGCGATATATTCTATCACATCCTTATCGAGTGTTTGAATGCCATTGTTACTAATGTCTAAGCTATTCAGACTCTGTGGAAGCCAATCAATTCGAACTCTAGTTAATCTATTATTGCTTACATCCAACTTTTTTATGTTATTATATTCACTCAATGTATTCCTTGGCAGCGACTCTAGACAACATCCCCTGAAGTTCAGACTGGTATTTCCAATAATCGGAACTGGTAATGGAGGAATGTGTGCGAGTTGACTTCTTGAACAATCTATATCTAAATTATAAGGCCTCCAATTGCACTCGCATCTGGCAGGGCACTTTATTCTGTTAATTCCGAGTGTGATTTTGCAGTTGTTCCGCTTTGAATCGCATATTATGGCTGTCAGGTTCTCATAGGGTTTGTATTCATCAACATAAATAAACTTTAATTTGGAGTAACCTTCAAAATATTTCATATCCACTGTTTGTTTTACGTCCAGGGTAACATCTACCAGACTATTCTGAAGAGTCTCAGACCTAAAATGGAAAGTACACCAAACGGCTTTATGAATAGAAAACAGAAATAGAGATGATTTTAAATAATTCTCCATACTTCGGATCATACGAACCTTAAGAATGAGAGATCCTCTACAATGGCATAATCGATAAATAATGAACGTAAGTTTTTCAAGCTGTCGAACATTTTTGCGGTAAGATTTCTAAATTCTCCAAATATTAAGTGAAGCCGTTTTAAATGTATTTTGCCCACAAAAGTATTTTCGTTTATCCAAAGTTCGTGCCGATGTCCTAAGGCATGAAATTGAATCTCTTCTAGTTGATTCATGCACATCTGAATATATTTGTTAACTAAATCTGTAGACCTTTTGGCATAGACCGTAAGGTATTTTGAACCATTAAAATAATTGAGATTCTCCTCAATGAAAGCATCACCATCTTGAGTAATTAAATTATATATCGACACTTCCTGTACTTCAAGATTTTTGAGATAATATACTCCAGGACGAAGTGTAGAGACATTAAATGTTCCATCAATTGATAAGCTCCTTAGGTTGACATTAGAATCATTTGAAATTGGGACGATATTCCATTCTTTAATGACGCTATTGATCCCTTTGATTTTCAATAAGCCATCTTTTAGAGACAATGTGTAATCGTTTGTGACGATAGTTTGTCCCATTTTGCGGCACGTTCTATCACTGTTACTATTATTGCATGCACCTTCACAGTATAGTTCACAGTAATCCGCTCTGATGTTTTCCAAATAATTTTGAGCAATAAACGATTTGATTTCCAAGAGTAAGCAAAATATCAAAAATTTATTCCGCGACATTTTCGATACAAACGGTGTCCGAATGAGATTCGTACTAAACATGAAATATGAATATTTTTGGTTCTAGGTCCCAAAAATCGGTACCCTCTAGGGAATTCTCTGAAAATAAAACCATTTATTTTATCATGCTCCCAAAAGTGCTATTATTTATCCGCTCGAGACCTGGAACAAAGAGAGCAACAATTAACATTTCATTTGATTATTTTGACATTTTGATTGCTTCCGACAGATTACATATGTGTAAATGCACTTCGTTTTGTATGCTCAGCGCTTTGTTAAGTCTCTCTTTACCGTACATGGTTGCTTTCTTTATATTTTAAAAATTTGTTGTATTTGTTATGGAATTCAAAAGCACTTGCCCGTTGGCTCTATCGATTTCTTCTATCAAATTGTACGGGAAATATCGATGGTATCGATAGTATCCGTAGGGGTATTCTTATTATTTGTCTAAGATGAAGAAACAAGAAAGATAATGCGAAAATTAACATGAAGGATGTCTCTAATCTTTCAGAATATTTCTACAATTTGTTGAAGATCTTTTTTTGCCAAAGTACCTCCTTCTGCCACAATAAAAAGCGCAGCTAAAACTATGGCGCTTGATTAGGGAACTAATCAAAATGTAGGGATTAATAGAAGCGTTATTCACAAAAAATTAAAAGGGCTTTGTGTGACGGCTTTCAAGTTAACATAGAAATTTGCGTTAAAATTAAATGTGCCGCTGCAGTTATTAGAGTGTTATTGTTACTTTTAAGTAAAATCAAGCTAACTTAATATAATTGCAGAAGTAAAATCAAGCTAACTTAATATAATTGCAGAAGTAAAATCAAGCTAACTGAATATAATTGCATTAATTTTTATCGATACTTAAACTTTAACTATAGTTCAAGTTGCTCTCGAATATATCGGGAAAACCCTGTTAGTTGATGGTGAGTAGACTTGTGAGTCAAATAAATACAAATGTTGTTGATATGTAGAAAATGGGTAGTTACCGTGTAGTTTAAATGGATAAAAAACGACACTTTTATTCTTCTTTGCTTGTACATCCATTTAATCCAATAAGAAAGAGTAATTCTAATAAGCTGAGCTGAAAAATTTGATTCATCGATCGGATAAAATTCTAGCTAGTAATATTTAACAGAAATTTAAATTCAGAAAAATGATTTAGGGATGGTTTTATTTATGGTATATTAAAAAGATGAGATGGTAATTTTTGGTATATTTTTGAGGTTCAGGTCTATTTTATCGACAAGCCTGCGGTCACACTGCTGACGAGCTCTCTGGCGTATACAACACATTGAACCGTTATTTAAGCACGGCCCATACGACACAGTGAACTACCCAGTACCCAGTACAGGGGCAAAACGACAGAGGCCAAGCGCGACGTTTAAAAAAGTACACCCCTAAAGGAGTAACGAGGAAACACAGAAATTGTTGACGTGCAAAACAAAAGCAGAGCTAACGGTTGGCCAACAGAAAGTGCAACGAGAGAAAAGTGAGAGAAAAGTAACAGGCATAAACTTGCTCCAATCTTGTGGGCAGCACTTGTGCCAATAGTTCAGTGTTGTAAAGCAAGGCAACGGAAAGGAAGTCGGAAGTCAACAAAAGCATTTTAAAAATCTCTGTACATCACAATTTCTTAAAATCCAAAAGTTGGAAAAATTCTACACAGATATATGCATGTGCGCGTGTATATGTACATAATATAAGTGGATATATATATATACATATATGTGTGTGTAGTGGTACAATATTTGTGAGCGCCAAAAAGCCGAAGAGACGAAGTGGCGCAGCCATATAAATCGTGGCTTCTCTCGCGCGACGGTCTCCAGTTCGAAAGTCCACGTCCTCCTCGGTCGCGTAGTAAAAACTCTCGTAGATTGCGCGTGTGTGTGTGCTTATGTGTGGATTGTCGGCATATCCTTGTGCGACTCTCGCTGCGCCTCGCTGCACACAACCCCCGGACACCATCCCGCTATAGGCGTTGCGTTTAAGGATTTTGTTTTTGGTCAAGTTTTTCGTACTCGGCTTCGAAATTGCGAATTTGGCGCGCAGAGGAGCATCAAGTAAGTGGGAGAGCGCTGGAGCTTGAGAGAGAGAGAGAGGAGAGCTCGGGAGAGAGAGAGAGAGAGAGAGAAAGAAAGAGAGTCGGGGAGGACTCTCTGCTGGCTCTCATTATACTGTCGTTGATTGCACAATAAAATACGCAAAACAAAATAAAAAAAACAACCGATTTTCGGGGAAGTTCTCATAAATTGGGCAAAGTTTCAATTGAAAACAGAATAAATCAAATGTTCAGCATTTCTCACGGAGAGTGTGTGTGTGTGCTTTTGTCTGTGCAGGACTGCTTGTAAGCTCTTTGTTTGCGCGCCCAAAAAAGTATGCTATGTCGTTTTACTATTTACTACTACGCACGCTCCCCCCTTACCCACACACACACACACACACCAAACAAACAAACAACCATACACACAAAGCATGAACACATACACATGACACACAATAACGGCTTAGCGTGTACTACAGGCACGCCACGCAGCTTACGCAGCTGCGTTAAATCTCAAGGCCTGACCAATACCTCGTAACCTTTGACCTCCCTTCACATCTCTGAGGTTCAGTCACTGCAGATTTTACACAGAGTGGCTCTGGTTCTGGTTTGTCCTTCAAATATTTACACCTTGTTATCATACTCTCACAGTAGCAGCCTGGCTAATTAATGTTCCTGCAGTATTGATAATGCTTCCCCTTCTGGCATGTGGTCCCCCAAAAGCTTCAAACTGCAGAAAAGATTTACATTTAATATTGGGAATTGTTAATGGTTTCAGTTGTGTTCGATTGTGACGAATGGAAAGTATTGGTAATCTTGGAATTAAGTATTAAATTTTGCGCAAAAGTCTTCCATGACAGCCGCTTGAAGGATTAAGATCGAATTGTTCTTTAATTATTTAAACTCATTATTAAATACTAATATGTCTTGTATGGAGAATGATAAAATATGCGTTCATGTTATAACTTGAGAAACAAACAATGGAGAAGAGACCAAACGGCTTCTCTTCTTCTGGATGTGTTGGCAGACAATTTAAAAAAAAGTCAAAGAGTCAATGTATAAAATCATAAAAATGGCATACAAATAACATACTTGTACACAGACAGAATCCCACACACGCACATAAACGTATACATATGACTGTTGAAAAGTTTTGTACGCGGCCTATTGAAATTTTTCACAGCCACATTAATTTCGTACCGAAAACTCCCAAGGCCTCCTCTGTTAACCGTTCACTGTTCACTGCTCCCTGCACCCTGTCCTGCTCCTGCTGTTGTGAGCCAAACAAACCAAAAAGCCAGGGCAAATATAAAAAGGCAAAAAGCAAACAGAACGGAAGAAGGGGAAAGAAGCAGCATTAGCGGGGGCTGAGGTGTGTGACGGTTGTGAAATGAAAAAAAAGAACAGCAGGAGCTAGCGATATATGCGATATAATAAATCTTTTGTATAACACGCAAAACTTTATGAACGTGCGCCAACTATAAAACTTTCACTTTTCAACAATGCTTTCCCTCTGCCTGACGGCTGCCTGACGTGTTCACACGCTGCACATGCTTTTATTTTTATAATAACGATTATGCTGTTTCATTCCCTTCCTCTCATAGGCTTACGAAACATGGACATTTCGATTGGGTATACGTGCTTAGGAGCGAACGTTGACCCATTGAAAGAAATCGGACCGTAATGCTCAGTTAACGTAGAGTTATACAGAAAAGATTTAGCAGTACTGTACTATTTATATTATATTTTCAAAATTTAAAAATAATGCTCATAAATAGCCAACAATTAGCCAATCCAGCAATATCAAAACATTTTTGCAGAATACTGCTCAAAAATCATCAAAAATTAGTTCCAGCATTTCAAATTTAAGATTTTTTGAATGGAATATTTATATTTATTAATTTGATCAATCAAATACTTATAATTGGAATTTAGTACGAAAATGTAATGTAATTAAATTAAATTAAATCTATTCCACTGTATGCATTTATGATATTGGAAAGATTCTTCTATATTATTGTCTGTTAGGTTATTCCTATTATCTGTATTTAATAATTTTGCATTTAATTTAATATGAGTTCTTCATATTAGTTGCGAGCATTAGGGTCGAGTAATATTCACTATTTTATGAATGAATGAATCAACATTTCTCTTAACTTTCCATGCAGAAGTTTACTTTTCAATTCTCTATCTTCGTGTGTGTGCGGGGTGTGTACTTTTTGTACATACATACATATATGTACATATGCATAAAGATGTGTTTGATGCTTTATGCTTTCGGGGGCTTGGACTGAAGGAACTGACTGCTGCTGCTGCTGCTCTTGTTTCTGTTTCTGTAAGCGGTGCTGGCGCATCCTGTGCGTGGCTGCCGCTCCACTTCTGTCAAAGTTTTTGACGTTGAGGCAGAGGAGTGGCAAAGGCGACGGCGGGCAGAAAATTACACTGAATGCGTGTGAAATCGTTCTATAAATATGTACATACTCATATGTATGTACTTAGTTAGATATGAGTATATGGTAAATGAGGAATTCGCACATGTACTAGTGCGTATCGGCCACAATAAATTGTCTTTATTTCATGCGAATGCGGCTGTTGTGGAATGAGAGGAGATGGCCCCAATACCAGGGCCAACTTGGGAAGCTATGTGCGGGAGCCAGGCAAAGGCTTGCGCCATGTTTAATGAAAATTATTACGCGATATCCTTGGGGACACACACACACACATACACTGCTACAGGGGAGAATGTATGGCTATGTGCGCTTTTTAAGGGGGTGGCATGCCCATACAAAAAAATAACCATTACCCGCTGAGTTAGTCCGACTGAATGAGCCGCCTTCCCCCACTGCGCATGTGCCTCAGACCAAGCGAAACGAGTTCGAGTTCGAAAGCATCCCGAAGTTATCCTCTCACATACGTGTGAGTTATGTTTATGCGTCTTCATGCTTTTGTGTGTGTGTGTGAGGATGAGAGCGGGTGAACGAAGTGGGAGTGGGAGTGGGTGAAAACGCATTTCTAGGTCAAACCCACATGAAGCCAGAGAACCTGCCCGTGGGCCCCATGCCAGACCATTATCGTGGAAACGTGTACGAAACACATTTTTCTGGTTTGTTTGAGAGCCGGAGAGATAGATAAACTTTACGAAATGCTATTGAAAATTAGTTCTCGTTCTTTTTGATAAAAATAAAAATTGCGAATAATTATATAACTTTTGGTAGAGAATTTTAATGATTTTTTATGAAAGTTGTTATTTAAAACTAAAGTTTTAATGTATACTATGTACATGTCCACCAATTTATTTTGGATATTTCAAAAAATAAACAGCCAAACATTAGAGGGGATATAAAACTCAGATTATCCGTATGGGATTTTGACAGTTTTAAAAAATATATAAAAGATGAATTCTTTGTAAATTGGAAATAAGATGAAGATTATACAGAAGATGGGATTAAAATGGGAATCATTCTCATTTACAGTCTACTTATAAAGATAGCTTTAAAAGTTTCTTTTTAAACATTCACCACATTTAAAAATGTCTTTTTTCTTTACAGGAATCGTATCCACATATCGCAGTACCAACTCAATTAGCACTTGCCAAAGGAAAACGAACTAAAATTTGGTGGCAAAAATGTTGAACATATCCGGCAAAAGCAATACAAACTTTTGGGAACACAAAATGTTCGACTCACACGCGTTCAAACCAAGTAAATGAAAAACACATTAAAACCAACGGAATTGCATTCAATTACTGATTATAAATAAATTTTAAACCGTAAATTTAAATATATTGAACTGAACAAAACCCGTTGCGCAGTGAAGTGTAAAAAGAAAAGAAACGAAACAAAAAAATACAGCAATTAAAAGTGAAAAATAAAATTAAAATTGCTGGACTGTTCTGTGGCTTTTATCGCATGTGCGGGGCTCACCGAAGATAAATAATTATACATTTTTGGAAACTGAAAAATCAATTGAAAGTGGCCGGCCCGAAACCAAAACCAGAGATTCAATCGTGAACAGACCAAACATGGAGAGCAAACACTGGAGTTGCTTTGTGGCCATTGTGCTGGGCGTGTTGATATTCAAAATGCACATATTTGTTGCGCTCGCCGATCAGGATGAGGATATACCCCACAACGAGTAAGTCCTGCCCATTATCCACATCTACATCCACATCTGACAAGCTCCAACCAGCATCAGCGTCAGCATTTTCAATTATGCATTTGCCAAACATTCCGCCAATTTCCTTTCGCAGGAAATTAATTGTAAATTTGTTTATTCTACACGAAATGCTTAGCACAGTCCGCTGTCCAGGCTAAAATTGAACAAACCGACTGCTGGAACACAAATGCTAATTGTTATGGTTTTTCATTGCTATTTTCTGTTATGAAATGTGGGAAAATGTGCCTTTTCAGTCCTCCGTTCAATTGTAAAACTAAACATTTAAAAATGTTTAGTGAAATGGGGAATGCAATGTGATGACAGATTACAGACAGACACAGACATTCCGATATAGTACTAATACTACCATTCGCCACATCAATAAGCTGAGTGAATTTATTGGCTTCATTGAAAAATTTAATAATAATCTATACATTTTAGTAATAATAAAAAATAGTAGTTGATTTTATCTGCAGTATTAATAAATACTTTTGAAAACTCAAATGGGAGGCCAAATAATAGTTTCAACTAACTAAAACGCGTGAAAGTAACTTAATATTCAAATAAAAAAATAGTAACTTGACAACGTATCAGTTATAGAAATAGATGGGATAATCCAACTCCATCAACTTCTATTGAGAAGAATATCCATGGCAAATTGGCAAAGATCAAATCAACTCTAAATTTATATCCGCTCAAAATCGGTTTCACAATGCTCCATTAATTTTTAGTAGAATAATTATTTCGCATATAACTTTTACCATGCGTCAACAGTTTTTTATGTGTCCGAAAATCTTTTGTGTGCAAAACTTTGGCCATTCGTTTGCTCTTATGGGCCAATTTATTTATGATTATTACTTTGTTTACCACACACAGATTGGCAGAGAATGTTTTGCCATTTAGAAGCCATAGTTTTCCGGCCGAGTGTAAAGTGCGAGAAACATATTGGGGCAAATGTCAAAGCGATTGGCAGTCTCATTTAAAATGCGCATAAATGGAAAATAATGAGTGTTTAGCTGCCATCAAAGAAAGAAGCATTTTCATATTAAGTATACGCTGGGTAGACTCCATAAGATACGAGTATGGCGGAGTTTTTGATAGTTTTGTCTGATGGTTTTCGGGAAAAATTGTCTGCCTGTGCATGTGATGTGCGGTTGAGATACTTTTGTGACAGTATGCGTGTCTAATGGATACATAATAGGATTTTTCAATTAGCGTTCGAGAGGACGAGACCTGCACGTGTGTGTGTTCATGTACGAGGATGTGTGTGTGTGTGTGTGTGTGTGTGTGTGTGTGCAGAAAGGAAAAGCAGCACACGTAACCGCAGCGCTCACTTGGCTAATTAACCCAAAACCAAACTGCCATTTGCAAGCAAGGACAACTGCCATCTGATGGGGAACGGTCATGGGCATGTCGTATAGATGAAAGCAGGACCGGAAACCGGAACAGAGACCACTAAGTGATTTTTTTTTCCTTGTTGCTTTTGTATCTAATGTCACTTTTATTTATTGAAATTAGTTTTGGCATTCGGCTTTTGTGTAGGCGTTCTTTCTCGTTCGTTGATATAAATTCTGTTCAACTTTAAGAGGGGGACCATCCCTAGCACTGCTGTCGTTCATATGGGTAACCTAACTTGAATTTATGGTAAACGTATTTTGCAGCTCCTGTAACGGACTATGCGTCTAGTACTAGTGTATCTATCAAGATGATTTAGTTCACATTTTAGCTCGCTTTCGTAGTCCACGGTTTTCCTCCTGATGCCGCTCCTCTTCTTTTCTTGTCTTGACATGTTGCGGCACATGGGAGAAAATAAATTTAATTAATTTGAAACATAAAGTTCTTCTTTCGTTCTTTCGTTGCTTTCTTTCTTCCGGCTTCACACTCTTTCGGTTGCCTCCCATGTTGCCAGTTGCTTTATGTCACTGCGGAAATTCAATTAAATTTATTTCAACTTTTGCTGCCGGGCCACAAAAACAACAAGTCGAGAGCCTTAGGGCTCCTGCCTTGACGATTATGTTTTGTCATGGGATGATGACGATGACGCTGCTGATGATGAAGCTCTGGTCCTGTTCCCAAATGCGACGCTGATAGTGGTAGTGGTCCTGCTCTTGGGCTCTGCGCCTATAGCTTTTGGTATAACTGACCCAAATCTCTTTTCATATAAAGTCGGAGCTTTCGAAAGCGTTGGCTGGCTTTTCCTTTGCCCGACCTTCATCCATTCAACGGGTTTTCTTAGGTCGTCCACATTTCCAGCTCTGAATAGCCGCTCGGCCCCTCGATGCCTCTCCTATGCCAGTGACTGTGCCTGTGCCCATTCACTTGCCTCATTTTCAGTTGCAGTTTCAGTGGCAGGCATCGCCATTTTAATGCATGCCTCGTTTGCTTAAGCACATCCTCTCTCCTCCTGCAAGTAGTTGCATTGGCAGCATCGTCCCAGGGCTCCTGCTACTCCTGCTGCTCCTCCTGGTCAACAAAAGACCGCTTCCCCTGACTCAGTGTGGGTCACGTGCCATGGCCAGAACTTTAAGGCCAAAAGAAAAGGCACAGCTTGTGTCAAAAAGGCTGTTACATGATTCTGTTTTTGGGCAGCCTGCGGATGACCGATTGATTTAAAAGTCCACACGATTGGATAGAAATTAAACACGAATTTATGAGAACTTTAGATCAATATGCCCCAAGCATTATAAATAACCTGTTATTATAAAATTTCTCAGATATATTGTTCGTAAAATGGTTAACCAAAAAAAAAGTTTGAATCCAGAATTGGATGGGATTGGAGCGCTTGTGGCGAAAGCATTGACGTCTCTGGGGAAACCTTCAACACCTCAAGAGATATCGGAGCAAGTGGCAGAGATGTCTAACGCGCCCGTATCTAATTTCACAGATCAAGTACAGGCGACTCTTGAGAAATTTGAGCCCATGGGATTCTTCAAGCGAAAGGGTGAACTCTATTCGGTGCCCACTGAATTATTTAATACAGCTAATGGCGCTAAAGAAATCGACGCAAAGATAGAGAACCAACGCGGGCAGAGCCAAAAACCAACAATCGTGTTGTACGGTGCGCTTCCCATTAATCCTGATAACTCGCTACGCCATCCATATCTCTTCCAATTTAACTAAACAAATGGAAAGTACAACGGTTACAAAAGCCATGTATGAGTTCTAATATATGTACATGCATTTAAATTTAGCCAACTTTATAAATTTCTTTGTGAAAAATAGAAACCTGACGGATTATATAAAATAGTTTTGGGTCGTCGACCGATATTTAATTTTCGGCACGTTATTCCTTGATAAATCACTAATCAGCCAAGACCTCACAGCAGAGTCGCTGCGCCATCCAATTGTTTCAATTTAAAGAAGCAAATAGCAAAATATCTCCATCCGGATAAATCCATGAACAAATGCTTTCTTTCTGTCAGCTCTCATTTTGTCTCCAGTGTCTTTTTGCTTGTCAGATTTTCAAAGTGTAGTGCTTCGTGCTACTCCACTTTTATCCGGAAATCGTTTCCTTTTTGTATGTGTTGCTGGATCTGCAAGTGGCGCAATTGCTGCTTAAAACAATTTTTGCATTTAACACAATGTGGCGGAGTGCGACTGGAGCGAGCGTCTGTGTGTGGCGTGGCATATCTAATTACGAGACGGATTAAGCGAACAAATAAAATAAAATCAACAGAGGCGAACAAACAGAGCACTAACTACTTATGAGAGACGACTGTGAAAGTGCATTAAGCGGCATCTGGAACAGAAGCAGGGAAAGCACCGGGAACAGAAGTGACAGAAGTCTGGCACACTATTTTGTTTTTTATTCTCCACCGACCCGGCCACCCTACACCAACTGCACGAGATACGAGAACGGGTCTACCAGTAGTTGCAGCAAAATGGGATTTTTAATCAGCGACAAACGCGACAGATTAAGCTATAAGCATGTCAAAGGCAGGAGGGAAGAATCGGGAAATTTGAAAAGCAGAAACGCATACAGACAATTCGCGTAATACAAATTCAGGGCACTTGGGTACTTGGTATAAATTGTATACAACTCTTCATTATTACTGACCCTTATTTATATTTTGATCTATCTATCGAATGATCATATGATTTATCAAACAAGTCAAACTGTGTCATTGTTTATTCTTAATCGGTACTTAGAAGAAGAATTAAGTTCTAGCTTTGAGAGCTAAAAATTATCTTAGTATAGGGCCTGGGCCCATTACTCTGGCAACTATGTAAAATACTCGAATTTCTTTTTATAAAGAATAGGAGGATTCTATAGAGTTGTTTTCGCTTCTCTTCTTGGCGGCCTTCAACCATTCAAGGGGTTTTCCTAGGCCGTCCACATTTTCAATAGCTCTCAATAGCGGCTCTATCCATCTGTCCCCTCCAATGTCAGCCCCTCGATGCCTCTCCTATGCCAGTGACTGTGCCAGTGCCCATTTACTTGCCTCATTTTCAGTTGCAGTTTCAGTGGCAGGCATCGCCATTTTAATGCATGCCTCGTTTGCTTAAGCCCATCCTCCTCCTGGTCAACAAAAGACCACTTCCCCTGACTCAGTGTGGGTCACGTGCCATGGCCAGAATTTTAAGGCCAAAAGAAAAGGCACAGCTTGTGTCAAAAAGGCTGTTACATGATTCTGTTTTTGGGCAGCCTGCGGATGACCGATTGATTTAAAAGTCCACACAACTAGAAATAGAAATTAAACAAAAATTGATGTGAAAATTGTGTATAATCATGTAATAAGGATAAAGAATAGGTAAACTCAAAATTTGTATGCTGTGCTAATTTTTCAACGGGCGAGTCAGTTCTGCAAGTGCATTTTCATGTGGAATCTCAGTTGTTGGCAATTCAGTTGATGTTGCTTTAAGAACACTCTCACACTGAGAAAGGACGTTGATATGAGCCCTTGTGATTGCACATTCAAGTCTGCCACTGGAGCACTGAAGAGCGTTGCTCGAGCAGAGGCAGGGGCTGGAAAGAAACTCATTTCAATTTCAATGATGCAAAACTGCACAAAACCTATTGACCTACTCCTTGGGACTACTACTACCCCTACGACCTGGGTGTCTGTCTGACTGTCTGTTTCTCAGACGGCAGAGCCTACCTGCCTCGGTATCGACTTGCTGCAAGAAAAGCGAAAAGCGGCAAGAAAAGACAAGGAGAAGCAACGAAACGAAACTAGTTCGATGGCTTTAGGTGTATATGGTGCTTGAGCATGACATACGTGGTTGGTTCGTGCTCAAAAGGCTGCCACAGAATAGAAAGTCACTAGGACCACACCTGAGCTCGCCCACCCACACCCACATGGACACGGTTATAGCCATTGTCAAGTTTCTGGCCAAGCGGAGCAAAAGAAATGGTTAGAACAAAATGTAACTTTTTATTTAGCTGGCCTCAGACTCAGAAAGAGCTCTACTTCAGGCCAAGAAGGTGACGTTGATGGCCTTTCATTGCTGTTTTCTGCTTTACGCGTCATCCCGATACTGGAAGTCTCTTGGCCTGGATTTTATGCTGCATCTATGCTCGGGTATGTCAGTTGATTCCCATTGTTCTCCTCTTATTCTTTGTGTGCCTATCTATGTACGAGTGTATGTGTTCTACATGAGCTGAATTTGTGTTGCTGGCATTGATAGTAGCACCAAAATATTGGACCTTGCAGATCGATATTTGTGATCTTTTGCTATGAAACGGAAAATGTTCATCTTCCTAAATGCATGCCATTCTGTTACTTACTTTCTCCATATCTCATTTAATAAACAGCCCTTGATACCAACGTTCCTTATGTTATTTTTGTTAGCTAAGTATCAGCCACCGGCCTTCAGCCATCAGCATTATCCAATTTCAATCACTTTGTTTTCATTGTTTGCAAGTACGCCTCGGAGCCCTTCCTCTTTGGGGTTTCCGCTTATAATACAATTTTCATATAATATAAATTCATTTTTTGGCATCGCCTGTACCACAAAACTTTGTCTGTAGCCGCCTGGCAGGCTGCAGTTGCAGTTGCTACCCCGAAAGCCTCTCGCCCAGAGAGGTCTGGGTCCTTGTCGCTCTCTTCAGCCCTACCATATAAACATGCGCTTATTTTGTATCTAGATAGGGAAGCGTTGTCCTCCGTTGTTGCTTCCTTTGCTCGCCGCCGCCGGCTCAACATAATCAACATTGCGTATACGCAGCGTTCCTGTGGTTGGGCTGCTTCCTCCTTACTGTCTCTGTCTCTGTCTGCCCTTCTCCTCCCCCTGCTCCTCATATTGATATTGCAGATAATGCCATAAAATTGTGCAAATATTTTTGGGAGCATTATTTTGCATGGTCTTTGCTCGGGCTCAACTTGACTTTGCTTTTGCCGTTTTTTTTGTTGTTGTTGTAATATTTCATTTTTGTTTTATCAACGCCTCGCCTCAACTTTCTCGTTGGCCCGCCTTGAGTCTGGTCTCTGATTTCATGTTTTATTATTTTATTTTCAATTTTCTGCTGCCCCCCAGTTCTCGTTTGGGTCCTGCTATAGGTCTGTAGGGTCTGGGTCTGGGTCCGGGTCCGGGTCGGGGTCCGGGTCCTTGGCTTGTTTTATGAGTCCTCGTTGTGCTGCTTTTGTTTTGCTTTTGACTTTCGCGTTTAGATTATAAATGTTTGGCAAATGTTTTCACAATAGTTGGCTCTTGGTCCTGCCGCTGCCATACCTCGGCCCTTGAGAGTTCCATCATCATCGCTCTCCCTTTCCCCTGTCCATTCTGTAATGAGTTTTGCTGATGTCTTTGGGTCCTCTCAAGTGAATTGAACTTGAGTCGGGTCGGGGTCTGTAGTTCCTTTCTTTTATGTGTGCATTTTCTTAGTCGTATAATACATTTATCATAATGATGGCCAGCCTGCAATTTATTGCTTAATGAATGATTTGAATGCATTTAAGCAATTAGCTGAAAATAATTTATGCGCAATTGAAAATCGATTTAAATTGATTTTTAATCAGCCACATGTCCATATGTTGCCGTGGCTGGGTCGGAGGGTTTTTTTTTTGCGCCATCACGTTCTAAATTAAGTAGAATATACGCAGCATATCCAATAAATGTTTCTATATATATACTAAGCTATACTAAGCACTGATTGCTAATTATTCTCTTGCAGAGTTCGCAATTGGGCCTTGAAGTTCGGCGTTGATCTGTGGGAGTTTGGACGACAATTCACCAAAATGAACGAGATCAAAAATGTAAGTAATTATCCAAAATATAGCCACATGGCTAGACGCAGAACATATGTACAACCAAAGACATGCAGATATGTATCAGATAATGCCAATAAATGGATACAACAAAGGGCATTTGTTTGGTTAATGGTATTGGGCATGTCTGGCGCTTTAACCGAAACAAATACGCTTAAGCTCTTTGGGCACTTAGTTCTACTTATCGATAAGAGAACATTTTTAGATAAATGCTTAGACGATGGCAAGGCTTCGGAGAGGCTTAACCAACAAATGCCTCAATTTTTCGTGTTTCCCCTCCGGCCCTGACGTTGCTCTCTAATTTGGCTCCTTTTTCCAAGCTCTTTGCTGTTGGCCCTAATGCAATTTAAACACAAATAAGGCTAATTGAGGGGGCACAGCGAGTAGCAGCAGTGGGTGAAGCGCTGGTGGCTTTTGAGTTGCGTAAGTATGTGACTGCGTGCTATCTATGTTAATAAGCATGGCTGTGTTTGGCTTTGGTTGACTGCGTGGTCTGCGGTGGCGGATTGCGGATGGTGGAAAGCTCTCATCCTCAGGCAGTCGCGTATTTTTGCGTTTAATCAAACGTACATGAGTTAGTGGGCTGCCTTTATTCTGTGTGTGTGTGTGTGTGTGTGTGTGTGTGCTCTGTGTATGTGTATGCGTAGATCTACATACTCGTACTTGAAGCACTCTCTGGCAACTTTCTCTTTTGTGGATATGCTGGGAACATAAAATACTCTGGAAAGTCATCGAGATCAAACAAATTTTAACCAATAGAAAAATATTCGCTTTAGTTCAGAGAGGCAAAGTACTAGCGATATTTGGAATAATAAATATCCACGAAAGGCAGCGAAATTGGGTGAGAGTGCGAGTACGAAACAATAGAGAAAAGGAATAATGCTGGGGATGAGCTCGAACCCAAGCCCAAGCCCATGCCACCACATCCACAGTCAGAGCAGGAGGCAGAGTCAGAGGCGGCTAAAATGCAAATAAATTTGCTGGCTGTGACTGTCATTGAGTCTGTAATTGTCAAGTGCCGTGTTGCTGTTGCTGTTGCTGTTGCTCTCACTTGTTGTTGCTGTGTGTGTGTGTGTGTGTGTATGGGTGTGTGTGTTATCATTGCCTTTCTAGTGTTGGGTGGGTGGAGGTGGTGCTGCTTCTGCTGTCGCTGACAATGTTTGTTTGTGTTAATTTAAAGCGCACGTCGCGCAGCACAGCGACAAAAAAATGAGAGCCTACGCCCAGATTGAATTAAATATCAAGCATACGCGACGTGGTGCGTTCTCTGGAAGTGAACGGAATTGTTCTGAAATGGCCTTGTGTGATTGTGTCTGTGTGTGTGTCGTGGCATTGTGTGCATGTATGTGTGTAAGTGTGTGCGAAAGAATGTTTATCTGCCCTTCTGTCTGTCTGTTTGTTTGCCTGTGCGCGGGTGCTGGTGCGGGTGCGGGTGCGGCTATCCCTTGTTAACGCCTTCAACCTTCTATGGTTCTGTTGCCAGCATAGGCTAATAAATTGTGTGCATAAAAAAAATTATTGGCATGCCAAAAAATGAGCATAATATTAAAGGATTCCGCATTGACAAGCGGACGGTATGCCAAGCGCTTCAGGTTGACTGATGAGCAGTGGGAGAGGAGAGACCGGATACTCCGGGCTAAAATGTTCTCATTTCTGAATTTTCTCAATTTCCATGCCGATTTTCCGCTTTTAAAACCAAACTTTAGGGCAGTTCGTACGTACACGTTTGACCCACAAAACAGCATCCACTGTTTGGCTATCTCGAAAATACTTCCCGGATGGACACTATTGACAGGCGCTGCGACAATATTATTTCAATTAGGACTCTTCTTTCTTTCTTTCCTCTGGTTGCTGCTACTTTGGCTGGCACAATTTTGTTCTTTCGATCGACCTGACATTTGTCCTTCAAAATATGTTTTTGCAATATAATAAAAAGATATAACAAACAAAGAACGAAATAAAAAAGGAAAATTAAAAAGAAAAGCAAACAATTCTGTGGGTGAGGGAGCCTCTTGCACCTCGCTATCCCCGCTCTGTCCTTTTCCCTTCACTTTTTCTGCTTTTCCCGTATTGTCCTGCTGCTTTTTGTTGTTTTGCTGAGCTACTTTTTGCTTGGCATTTTAAAGTAGCATAATAAAATGTAAAACAAATGCAGCGCACACGTTCAGTTATGCGAAAGGCGTCGCAGGACAGCAGCTTCAGCAGCAACAAAAACAACTCTCTAAAGACAAAATGGCTGCCACCAGTAAACCCAGAAATGTGTGTGGGGGGTGAGGGGACAGAATGGGAAAAAGAAAAGAGCGGTGTGTGTGTGTGTGTGTGTGTGTGGAATGCCTGTGCGTGGCGCATATTCATTTATTTTATTTTTGTTGTGCCCTGGGCCTGGTAGCGTTTAGCGCTGACTAGCTTAAAAAATATATCTACCTAAGCCATGAATTATTTTCTTGAGACAGATACAGCATACAGTCAGACTGAAGACTGAGTGTTCTAAGGTCTAAGATGGAGTGCTCTCAATTAATTCCAATTCAAAAATGAGCTTAAATGTTACTACTAATAGGCAGTGCGCTTATTCCTTGGTCGCAGCTCGTGTTAAAAGGGAAATGATGGTGTCAATGTCTGCGTAAATCGGAGACAAAGGTGATCGCTGTATCAGATGAAGTCTTGCTGGTACTCTGAATATTGATTAATAAGAGACTAGTACTCGTAGCATCGCAAAATGTTGCAAGCTGGCTGTCATGCTTACGTTACCCTAAGCCCCAACTTTGCGAGTAACAGAGACAGACTCCATCGACAACATGACAGTACACAAAGTGTTACACATTTGCTTAGTCCAACTGACAGGAGTTCCCCTTCTCTCTCCCACACTTTCTCTTGCTATCTCCTTCGCTGGGTTTGTTGTGCGGCGCTTGCTCGCACTCGCACTCGCACGTCTGTGACGCCATTATGGCAAATGATGATGTGTACCTAACGATGATGCAGATGATGATAATGAAGTCGAGCTGTGATCATTATCAGCCATCTGCTTCGTCTCCCCTCTCTCTCTCTCTCTCTGTCTTTGTTACTTGCCGTGAAATATGGGTCAAATTCAAGTCGAAATTGCAAAATGGCTGCGCATTTCTTCGAGATTCTCTCCCTCTTCCTCACTCTCTCTCTCTCTCTTTCTCTCTGTTTGCTTCCCATTTCTTAGCATGGAAATAAACTTAAACATGTTCTCTTTTGCACGTAATACACAACTTTTAAACTGCAAAAAAAATAAAAAGGAAAATTAAAAAAATAGAAAATTTTGCGCGTGCTTTAGTTTATTTTGTTATGCTCAACCTTCGCCCTGGCTTCTGCTTTCACCTCCATTTAATTTTCTTGGCCAGTTTGTAATGGTGTAAGTGGCTTGCAATGTACTGTACGAGCATTATGCCCTGCATCTTTCAGCTCTTTCTCTGCACTTGTACTTGGCATTCGCAGTGGTCGTCGCGACGATTCAAAGTATACAGAAAGAAATCAAACTGTAAGGCGAGTTCATAAGAAAGGGAAGAATTGAAAGTCTGGTTTAAAATAATAGTTTAACCTTTTTAGGTTCCTGGAAATCCTTCAGAACTTTCATCACTTAAGCCACGAAACAGAAACAGATAATAATTATGTTTTTTAGTCTCCATCTTGATTAGTGGTATTCGCGGAAAAAGCAGCTGCAATTCTGTAGACCAGCCCCTTTTCTTGCCTTTGCGTTTTTGTTTTGTGTCGGGCGTCTAAGCAATTATAATTTTTCGAAGGCTACAAACTAAAATGCAGATTGTCGGTCATTTGTTTGCTCACTCCCACTCCCACTCCCACTACTACTCATACTCCGATTCTTGCTGCTTCTGCACACAAACCAACTTCGAGTCCACGCTCTGATTCTGCTTCATTTCCCGGGTTTGGTGACAAATACAAAGGCCTTGTTAAAGGCCAAAGCAATGGGCTTACGGTCTGTGGAGGGACTGGGGTGCGGCGCAGACGGAGCAGACGGATCGAGTTGGTTTTGTGTGTTTGGCTAACTAAGTGTGTGGCGAACAGTGTTGCGGACTGTAAAGAGACTAATCGTAAATCAAGGCGTCGACTCGGCGACGCACTTGAGGGCGGTGGAGCCACCGAACTGGCTAAGGGCAGCTCCACTCCTTCATGGAGGCTACTCCACTGGCTTTTATGCGGTCCAAAATGCATTTGGGTGGCAGACCCTCACACTCAACCAACCACATCCCTGCTTTGCCTCTGATGAAGGTGGGAACTTTATACATATGTGCATGAGTATATATACAGCCAGTGCTTGTCTATGCAAATATTTAAGTCTGTCGTTGTCGTTTGGTGGCGAAAATGCGAGCATGACATACAGCTGCTGGAGCAAACAAATGTTAAGTGAGGGCTGGCCCCGGCTCCGGCTCCGGCTCCGGATCTGGGTCTGGAATGGGAGTGTAGCCGGATGTTTGGGGTCTATCCTTAATGAAAGTATAAAGCAAATTAAATATTTAATTTGATTAAATCCTCTGAGAGTACATCCATTACATGGATGTGGAGAACTAAAGTTGATTTCACTCTATGAAGCAAAACCTCATGGGAAACCACGAAATCATGCAGCAAAACATTTCCGAAAAACTTGTTTAATTCTCTGTGGAAAGGAATTTATAATTTTTGAAGCGCTCCATTTTGCGCTTCCATTTTATGAATAATTATTCTAATTATGATTGGATTGCAAAGCAAATCATTGTGAAACTTGTACCAAGCCTTCCAGTGTTACATTTTGGATCTATGATTTTGTTTTTAATGAAGTTTGGCAACACTACCCTTGCTATTCACTCGACACAGCGGCAAGGCAATTATAGCTGGCAAAGAGAAGCCCTTCTGCCCGGCCCTTTTCCAGAAGGCCATAATAACTAAGTAACTTTTTTACCTAGCAATTAAAACGTGAAAAACATGCTAATTAAAACTTAAATGCAGCTTTCGTGATGCGGAAAAAATCGGAGAAAGTCCACGCACAGAAGAAAAAGCCAACCAACTGCTGCAGTGGGCAAAAAACTATTAACTTTAATATTGGAAAATGGCGGAGTAGGACTGAGCAGAAGCCTTGCCATGCGAAGAAATTTGCAAAAGAAATCTCCGCCTGACTGCTCATGGAAACATGCGCGTTGATGCGAGACATTGTTGCCCTCCTCGGGAGGGTCTGCCAACAGGAGAGGACGGGCGCACCAGAAGGGTGCCAGCGACATCTTCATTAAAATCTAATTAGCGCATTGCCAGACCAGACCAGACCAGACCAGGCCAGGACAGAGAGTCCCGGGCTTCCCCGGCCCTTGAGCACATAATCAGTCAGCCAGGAGCAGGCCAGGAGCACATACACTTGCAGCAATTCGCTCGAGCTACCTTTCGCCCAAGGTACTAGGTTTTGGCATTCAATATTAAAACATTTCTTGCCTCAGTGCTACTCTGTTTCGCTCAGTGTATCAGGTAGATGATGCTGCAGCTGTATGAAGCTTTTGCTGGTGCTGGAGCTGGAGCTACTCCTGCATGCGTAAGCTGCTTAACTTGTGCCGGAATTCAACAGGAGCAGAAGCCACGGGCAGCAAAGCTCAGGAATGCTCAGTCTCCTTGCATCCCATCCGAAACCCCCGTGATCCCATCCTGCCGCCCTGTCCTTGCTCCACTTAAAGTTTTGCGCCAGCTGCATACGCACCCAGGCAGTCCGCCTTAGGGCTTCGCCTTGCGCAACATTTTCGAATTCCAGAGTCAACCGCAAAATGAAAAACTTTCTATGGCTGCTGCTGCTGCTGCAACCGCTCGCTCCCTTCGAGTCCCAGCCATATTGTATACATATTGTATATGGAAGTTCTCTGCACCCACCCATCTACCATCTACCATCTACCAGGCACCCGACTCTCAGCCTCCTCCGCAGTGGGACACTCTTACACATACGCGCGTGTCCTTCAGGCGTGCATTGCATTTCGATGTTGCTCTCGTGGAAATTGCTTTATAAAATGTTGCAATCGCATAAAAGTTGTGTGAGGTTTTTGTGGGCGTGGCCGCTACCACTGCTGCCCCACACTACACGCCCACTGCAACGGCTAGCATCTTGGGGGCTCCGGTCCGCTTTCTTTTTCCCATTTAAAATGTATTTCATTGATTCTGTTTTTTATGCTGCACCCCTCCACGCATTTTTTTGTTTTAACCATCGGCCATTATCGTTTTGATTTGGCAATAGATTTGCTAATGGATTTTCAGATGTTATAAATCATTATAAGGGTGGAAACTTTATCGGAGCTGATGGAAGTTGTTTGCCCCCCAATCTAATCTATTGCACAATCTGTAATCATCTGAAAAACATTTGAAAAGTAACCAAATTAACGTCTCACTCATAATCCTAAATAGTCACAATGATGGTCTATATTTAGTATTTCGTTGAATGTTTTATGGCTTAGAAATTAGTCAGTTTGAGGACTTGCAACCTGCTAAGTTTGGAACACACTGCCAATGCCATTTCGAAATCGATTTCCTGCCGTTTTGTATGCCATAATCAATTACGTTCTCGTTTCGAATCACTTCCAGAGACTTTTCAGTCTACCCACAAGCAATCCAATTGCCAAGCTCAATTTTGCTAATATCCTGAGGAGACTTCTCAGGAGGCTACTCTGTCTTGGCCCCTCTTGCCGCTTTGGGCGGATATGTCTGTAAGCCAAGTGCAGCAGTCGACATAATTTGGGCGTTTTAAATCCTCGTGTAGAATTTATAATGCTCAATGGATTACAACTGGGACAGAGATGGCTATTCCAAGAAAAAGAAAATTAGAGAGAGAGAGAGAGAGATACTTTCTTTTTTCCGAACATTCATGTGTGAGTGTGTGTGTGTGTGTGACATTTTCTTTAGCCAACTAATGAATGCCTCAAAGAGTTTTCTTCTTGCAGTTTTAGTTTTGCGGCCAGACCCCCACACACACAGAGAGCTACTCGTAAAAGGCAAATGGAACATGGGAGCCTTTGGGCTCAAGCCACAAATATTTGCACGCTCTCTGGTGTGGGTTGCCACACCCCTCACCGATGGAGTACACAGGAACAAAACTTCAAAAATCAGCAGCTGCATCCATAAGATGTTCGAGTTTTCTTATGGTTATAACTATTTATTTTCAAGCATTGGCATCTGTTTTCTTCGCGTTTTAGTAGAGCTCACTTCTGTTGTGTAGCCTTTAATGGGGGCGATAGCCTTCGTACTTTGTCTTCCAGTGTACTTCTAAGTATTCACGAGCAGCTTTCTCCTTTGCTGCTGCTGCTTCTGATGCTGCTGATGCTTCTGCTGCTGGCACTGAATCAGTTAAGAAAAGTTTTCTAATTAATTCGCCGGAGACATGTACAGAGACACTCACACTGAGGCTCTCTCTTTCTCTCTCTCTCTCTCTGTATCTCTGTCTCTCTCTGTGTCTCTCTGGGGTATGCAGCGACGTTGATGGTTACAAATGCGATGGGCAAAAATATAATTTAACTGACAGTTTGTTTGATAAGTGACAATTTGAAATGGGCTTGCAAATGTGTCGATCTGTGTCGTGGGGCGTGGCCCTGCCTCCACTCAACTTCATTTCGAAATTACTAATTTGTGGCAGTTAAATGCATAAAAAAGTCATAAAATGCATTTGCTCCCATTGTCTGAAAGTGTTCTTTTTTTTGTTTTGCCTGGCTGCTGTCTGCTTCCTCTTTCATTGTTCGATTATGATTATGGGAATTCTCAGACTAAAAAGAAAAGAAAACTCATCAGAATTTTCCATTAAAACAAATGACAACACGTTCAATGGCAAACTCATTATAATGGCAGAGAGGACGGACTTCACCCATTTTGTGTGCGTGTGCGCCGCCTTGTGTGTGGGAGCTTGGAAAAATCAGAGCAAAATTCTGAAGCCATTAACTTGGCCACTAAATGTGTGTCTCCTCTCGGCTACCATCTCAAGCTAGAATGTGTGCGTGTTTCTTTCTCTGGTTAAGAAAAGTGTGGAGTGCAATGGAATGTGAAATTTCATTAGACCATTTGGCAGTACGAAAGGGAAAGGAGATAGAGTGAGAACGATGGTAATCATAAGCATTGAAGATGAAAAAATAGTTGAGCCAATCAAAGGCAGAGCTCCTTATCCTTCTATCTAACTTACACCATATCCATACCCATTTTTATATACCCTTTAATGGCTGCCAGGAATATCTGGAAGATGAGGATAAAAAAACTTATTTTATATTACAATTTGTTGTTATACTTAACTTTAATATCTCTTGTTTGCTTATCAAAAGTGTGGCTTCCTATAATAGATATAATTTAATTCCATGGCCACTTGTGCCAGTCCTCCTCCCGGACCTTTTTGCTCACTCAACTCTTTTTAGCAACTCTGCTAATTGCCTGGAGCCCAGCGTACAGCCAATAAATATCTAATTAAATTAATAAAAGGCATTAGAATCAATTTAATATCAATTTAGAAGTTGCCTGCAGCCATAGAAACCGCCTCCATTCCCTCCTTGTCGAAGTACATCTGAATTTTATGTTGGACAATAACCGAAGCGCCAAAGTTTTATGACCCCTTTGACCCTGTTTTGGTGTACTGAATCTCGAGGCCCATCGGTTTATAGTTGACGGCAATAAAATGTACTGAGAAATGTTTGGAAATAATATTTGCCTTTTCGTTTGTTCATTTTGCAGCGATTCAAGGATAACGACATCGAGGTGAAGCGCAAGGACGGCATTATCCTGCTGCGTGAACTGGCTGCCGAGGTGAAGAACTTTATGGACTTCAAGCGTAATGCTGTCATGGTAAGTGGATCCTCCGCCTCAATTCCGATTCAGATTCCGATTGCGACTGCGATTGCTTTCGCTGCTCTCCCTCTGAAGTGCCTACAATTGACAAGTGGCTCAATCGCTGAATGCTCAGGGGGCTGGCAGGTCAGGGCAGGGCAGCAGGGCACTCCCGAATTTACGGAGGACACTAAAAAACACACAACAAAACAATCACAAGGCGACGAGACAGGAGGACAACGGAACGGGTCTAACGCCTGCCCGTTGGGACGTGGACGGGGCTCCGGCGTAAAGTGGAAAACAATAAATTGCCGTGGGGCAAGTCTCATTGCGGTGATGTTGAAGCTCGTGAATGGGTGGTACGCCGACTCCAAACAGTGGAGAAAGGAGACGCCGAAGAGGTCGACCCCAAATTGAAATTAAAGTGCGCCCAGCCACAAGCAGAAGTTTTTGATGGCGCCCGCAGCTGCTGCGAGTGCGTGAGCTGCTGTCCCGTTGTCCAAGCGCTGCCCGTGCTTCTGGCCAAGTACTTGCCTCGCATCATCTCTGACCCTCTCCCTCTCTCCCTCTTTCCCTCTCTCTCTTTCTTGTGCGCTCTTGTGCGGTGTTGTGGTCCTGGTCGCTGATTCTGCTGCTGCCTGCTGCCCACTCTCTTTGCGGCTTGGCAGTGTTGCCTGTGCCCTGTCGTCCCCTTGGCTGCTGTCTCTCAGTATCAATAGACCTCGTTTACCGTGGGAATAATTTGCAGCAGGCGACGGAGGAAGTTCCTTGCACAGTGGCTTGATTGTGCGGAATCGTGCCTGGGAAGTTGTGTCCTGCTAGCAGGATCGCTTACCATTAGTAAAACGATTTGGAGTTTCAGCAACAAGAATCAATATAAGCTTAATATAAGCCTTCTAATCAGCCCCTCACGTTCCCAATTATCAGCTACAGAAAGCTTCAGTGAGGAAAACATTTTATTATTCATAAAGCTTACAGAGTTTACAGAGAATTGAAATGAGGAATCATTACTGGTTCGTTAGAGTCGTTTGATAGGTTAGAGTCCGCTTTGATCTTGGTGGATGTGTGCCGTCCACTTACCTCAACTTCATACAGCCAAATTAATTGGTCAATTAGTTGCAGACTACCGTAGACTTTTCCGCAATCTTGTTATCAATCCATTGTCGGAAGAGGGCGACATTTGTATAGATAGCCGGAATGTTCTCCGCTCCACAGCCAACGCCCCAATTGACAATGCCAGCCTGTTCATAGCGTCCTCTATCGTTGGCCAAAGGACAGACTAATGCGGCTCCGCCATCGCCCGTGCACGCGTCCTTGTCCTGTTCACCGCCTGCACAAAGGAAGCTGGGGTTCAATACAAAGCTGCTGCCCAGGATGGATCGCCTCAGTTGTTGTTGGCACAGCGCGTTATCCACCACGGGCACCTCGACTTTCTTCAATATATGCATGTAGGAGTTGGATTCGAACGTCATCTTGCCCCAGCCGCTGACAAGGCATCTGGTGTGGTCGAAGATCTTGTTCGCTGTTGGCAGGCAAGCGGGACAGATGTGGGGCTGAGTCTTCAGTGGTGTAGTCAGGAAGAGCAGTGCCAGATTATTCGCTCCCGTCGTTACTTGGAAGTCCGAATGTCTTTCGATGAGCCTCACATCAACATTCACATGCCGATTCAATTCAGTTTCAATTTTAAAGTCCCATTCGCCGGCTCTGACGATCAACTGTCCTGCTTGGAGATTCGCCACCACATGGGCGGCCGTCAACACCACATCTGATCGAATCAGTGTTCCAGCACCCAAATATGTGCTATCCGCCTTGAGTAGCAGTGCCACCATCCAGGGGAATTCACCCACTTGGGCCACATTCGCTGCATCGGTCATGGTGTAGTGCAGACCCTTTTCGTTTCGATGTCCACATTCGGTTGGAGTGGCAACATCTACCTCAACCACGGGGCTATTCACCTGCAAGAGAGCAATCAACTAACCTACACAGATCGCCACAGCAGCTTTTCTCACCTTATCTGCGATGGAGCAGCAGACTTCGGTGGTATCGCACCCCTCATTGCCGTCTACCAATGAACGGTATGAAAACAATGTGTGTCCGTCCGTGATGACAGCTCCATTTTCGCACAAAATTCGCGCCACACAAACTTTGTGTTGGGAGTTGCCACAGTTCTTCCCAAGAGCTCCGCCTGCAGACAGTAGCAGCAAAGCGACCGAAAGTAGATCCTTGATTCTTGACATTACTGGCGTAGATTACCAAAACGAACTGATCAACTTGGGGCCTTGCTCTCGGTCTTTATAGAAATCACATGCTGATAAGATTCCTCGTATTTCTGATTCAACGAAATGCTTAAGACATTTCTGCATTCGAATTGCATTTTTGGGGATTTATCAGAAAATAAACTATTCCAAAAAACATTGAACACATTTGGCTAAAGATCAAAAGATCAGCCACACTTTTTGCTGATCTCTAACTTAAACTGTGACACATCTTAGTCTCCAAATCTTAGCAGCCACAAACACATATTTTTCGCTGAAACTTATTTATGTTTTGCCATATTTTCGCATGCTTTGGTCCCACTGTTTAGGTCTGTAAATGCCAATGGCTCCCCAACTCAAGCGATTTGCTCTTTTTTCTGCTGCAGCATTTTGATTGATTGTTCTCACAAAGTGTCTCCTTAGCGCCGCCCCCCTCATCGGGTGGAAAGTTTTCCTCTCTTGCGCAAATGGTAAATTGTTTTGTTTGCCCTGCGGCATCAAGATCTCGCATTAATTTAATTCCATTTAATTTAATTATGAAATTATTTACGACTTGAGGGAGAGAATCAGAAACGAGCAAACAACACGTACAGTCATCATTAATAAGGCAGAGCATAACAATTAAATGTTATAATCAACGCATGAAGGCAGTTTTAATGCGACGCGTAGCCTGGTGCTGCCACATGGTTCTCTGGGCCTCTGACCCGCTCCTAGCCGTGTTGCCAAGTGCGTGGATATACATAAATAATTTTTTATGATTTCCGCAAAATATCGATTAAATTTGTTTTGTATGCGTGGGGTTTTTTTTTATTTTTGCGGGGTTTTCGTTTGGTTTGTTTGTTTTTGCAAACGGTTTCTTGCGGACAACACGCTCGCACCCACATATCATGCGAGAATGGAGCACGGAGCATACGCAGATGCTGTCCCTTGGTGCTGGCTGTCCTTTCCCCTCCTCTCCGCTGGCCGGAAGTTTTTGGCCCTGACGCAAAACGCATACGAAGCACCATTAATTAAAAATCAACCCACATGAACAGAAGCAACAACACCAGCACCAGCAGCAACACCAACAGACGTGGCAACATCAAAAACAGAGCCAACAACAAAATCAGCGACTGGCCAGACAACGACAGGAAGAAGGAAAAAAGAAAGAAAAAAGAGCAGGCCCCAAAGAGGCAAGCCGGAAAGTGAGGAGCAACCATTTCGACCTGCCTTTTGTTGTTTGGTCAAATAAAAGATTGACCGGGAAATGTTTGAAACATTTATGAAATGGCAACACACACACACCTTTGTCCACCTCCCACCCACCTATGGAGCACGTCTCCGGTGGGTCATCCAATCGCTGGTCCAGAGACTTGAACCTCACGGCGTGGAAAAAACGAGATAAAAGCAAATCCCAATATCATGATGCTGACACAGGTTCGCTCTCCATTTTAGCTGCGCTGGCTTCCGTTTTAATGCATACTCAACTCCAGAGTCTTTAGAGGTCAGATAGAGAGGAAAACGAACAGAAATAAAAGTCGAATTGAAGCATTATATATTTGATGGAGTCGATGAAACTCGTACGTACACAAGCATTTCCAAAACAATCAGATGAAAAGTGGCAAAAAGTTGGACATACTTATGGATCCCCACAATGCATCACCATGCCTCAGAAGAACTCTCAGCTCAAGCAAAGAGCTGAGGCAGGCACTGAGTGTAATTTGTTCTATAAATAGTTCGAGAGCTTATCAGTTTTCGCAGAATATTTAAACCGATAGCGCGCCGAAAATTATATACCCTTACAGGTCGCCAATCCGCACAAGGACAGCTTATGAAATTAATTGAATAATGCAAAAATGAATGTAAAGAAATTTAAAACAACGCAAAACCGCATCAGTAATTGTTGCTGAAAGATCATGTTCATAAATGATTGTGAAACAATTTGTATTAGCTCGATTGTAATACTCGTAATAGAGCGCTTAGAGATTTATTAATAATCTCAAGAATTAGAGCAGTTCGCCAAAACTAGAGCCTACCCGATCGGATGAGCTTTTCCTACTCAAAACACACACAATTCCCAGAACGTCAGAAAGAATTTTCCAATTGATTTGGCGTATAAGAAACAAAAATGCCCAGTCTATAATAATCATGTAATAAAGATACAGGTTTCAGGTTAGCAATGAGCGGATTGAAAAGCCAGTGGCGCCGCTCAGAAGGGGCTCAGATTTAAGCTGTCAGCTGTTGTCAGGTTTCATGCCTCTATTGTGCTGGTTGTAGACAAAAAAATAGATAAGTTTTAATCTGGAAATTCCTCCTTTGAGTGCCAAGATTCGAGCTGGTAAGCCGAGCGTTTAATGCAACGCTTTGACCTGTTTTTCCGCTTGTCAGTTGATAAATATAATACATTATTATTGCTATTATAGATGCGAGTACCTATGTATGTATATACATATAAGTGGCTTATCTGCGTAGTATATGCCGCATTCTTAGGCTTCGAGCTTGACTGTGGGATTCTCCCGTTTCGACTAAGTTCGCATATAATCTCGCTCACTAGTCACCTGAACAATCAGTTATACTTTGCCCATTGAGACGAAGAGTTCTACAGCTTGGAAAATGGATTCAAGGACTTTCGTATTGCTACTGCTGGTCGCCTGCTTGTGTGTCGCCTACTGTGTGGCAGCGCCTCAGGGATGCAACGGAGGATTTTACACCAGGAACGGCAATATCGTCATTGATCTGAACAATTTGAAGGGAACGTTCGATTGCGTGGAGAGGAAGCATAGCAGACGTGGATGACATCCAGCTCTTAATCGCATTTCCTGACTGAATAATTGTTTGTGTCGTGTCCAGTACTTCAATGTGAAAACTATAATTAAATTCCTAATAATAAATGAAATAGAAAATCTATGTTCAGTGCAAGTTCTGATTTAAAAACAATTCATCAACTCACTTTTGAAATGTTACTTGAGAAAGTTATCACATTCTGTTCATTCAACTGGATGTGGTGTGGCCCTCTGATGGCCTATAACGCCTGTTGCCGGCAATTTGCGCTCATGTCGAACATGAAAAATAATGAAAACCAACTCGTGCGCGACCAGGCAAGCACCTGCCTGCACCCTGCGCCCTGCATCCTGCACCTTGTGCCCCTTGTGTCCTCTCAGTTGTGTTCTGTTCTGGCCAGGCCAGGGCAGGGCAGGGCAGGGCAATGTTTTGCTTTAACATTGCCACTCGCATTCACCTCCATCAACGTCATGCCCATGCTTCGTATTCATTTTGCTCTCCATAGGATGCCGAGCACCGCCTTTCATCGCCCTCGCATCATTCGCTTGGGCACCTGCAGGTGCCTTTTGTTTGGTGCGGCATTAAAATGCTAATTGCCTGTAAACATAAAGGTAGCTGCAGATGCCACACGCATATCATTTTTGCACTGCCTCTACTGGGACCACAGCTCCACTTTCTGTTCGTGTTCACGTGACGTATGCGTAATAGTTTTTTTGCACTCGCTGAGGTTGCAACGCCTGCACTAATTCGATTTCTATCAACGCCTGTCAATGCTGTTCTAACTCAGTTGTTGCCTCTCTGCTACCTAAAACATTTACTCTGTTTCCTCTCATTCCCTGTTCCTGTCTGTCCACTCTCCACTAATAGCTGTGTCCTGTTCTGTGCCCCTTGCCCTGTTGCTGACAGCATTTATTTGCGTTCGGTTTCCAGTTAAAATTGACTTTAAAATTGCATTTAATGGCAAAAAAAAGAAGGCTGTCCGACAGTTGCCCCGTTCCCCGACCACCGTCCACCGTCCACCGTCATTCTCTGTCTATGTCTCTGCTTTGGTCGTTTTGCTTTTCGCTCTGCCACAACCCCACAATCCCACCAACCCACCACCCTTCCTGTTCACTGTTGACTTCTTTGCTATAATGCCACTTGCACTTTGACGTTGACATTGTGCAAGAGAGAAAGAAAGAGAGAGAGATGGATAGGTGCATGCACAGATAGATAGATACTTTTAGATAGATAGATGTGTGTGTGTGTGTGTATCGGGCATAGTCACGAGTACTCTGCCAGTCTCTTAAATAGAAACATGCAGCAAACGTGGCAAGCAAATGTCTTCACACTAAAAGCATTTACCTTGCCCTGAGATCGCTAGTACGGCAGCTCCAAATGGTGGCATTTGTGCAGCGTTGAAATCTCAACTGCCACGAGGGACTTGTCAGTGGATGTCGCTCTGGATGGTTTGTTAACGCGCGCAAGACTAGGTGTTTTAAGACGGATCTTAAGTTGGAAGTACATAAGTTTCTCTTAGAATGTGTTGAACCTAAACTAGCAAACGATAAGCCGCAAAGACTCGTGGAAATCTTGTTCTGAGATGGCCAGGGGGAGGACCAAAGAGCCACAAAGAGTTTCGCTTTTGGCTCAGGCAAAAAGGTGTTAATAATCTTTTAAGTAAACCGCATCTGCAGCTCAGTCTGTCACACTTGGAGCTAAAAATACCCAACAAGCTGCGGCAGAGAACAACACGGACGGGACAGGTGCTGCCACTTGATGTCAGTCTCTTAGCCAGATGCTTCACTTGGCTACTTATGTCGGGGGTCGCCGTTCGCTTGGTTCGCTAATCAGGAGGGGAAAGATCTCACCCAAGGAAAGGATTCTGCCACTGTTAAAGCGTCAAATACTTAGCCAAAGTGATATTAAAACGTAATATAAATTTCTCTTTTGGCTACAAAACTTATTGCCTCAACATTTGGCACGTCCATTCAGACGGCAAATATATTGAGCAGACAAGCAAAACGGAAAAAAGGGAAGAAGCCAAAAAAGAAAAGTCTCAGTCTCAAACTGAAATCGTTGCTTAAACACACATCTTGCATTACTCCCCGAACCCCGAACCCCGAACTCCGAACCACGAAGCAGAGAAATATCCTTAGAGGGTGGAAAATCACTCGGCTGGCTCTTTTCGCTTGGCAAATGGTCAATGTGAGTTCGTTTTACTCAACATTTTTTTTCGCACTTCCTCACAGCATCCTTTCGGGCTGTTGCTCCAGCCAACGCCCAGAGTCCTCAGCCCTGCTCAGTCCCTGGGCACCCAAGTTCCTGCTCCTGTTCCTTCTTCTTCATATGTCTTGCAAAGAAATTGCGTGCAAGTAGCTGCATTTTGCTAATTCCGGCAGAGCCCAGACACTATACCGCTGACATTTGAGCAGGTCGTCCTCCGTACCAGTCTTAGTACCATTCGTAGTCCTAGCCCCAGTCTCAGTCGCAGTCTCAGTCCCTGACTGTCGCTGCCATCGTTGTCGTTGTCGTTGTCATTGTTGGCTTTTGAATGTTAAGATGTCGACAGCTGCACAGACGTACGAAACGGGCAAAGAAGCCAGCTGGTGTCAAATGAGAATTGTGTGCGAAAGGGCATTGCTCACGGTCTCCATTCCCATTCCCCGGCCATCACCATCACCATCACCATCACCATCCATCCCATCCATTCACGCAACCCTTTCTATGCCGGAGACATTTTTTTGTTTTGCCTTCCCTCCTCCGGGTTTTCTTGGCTGTTAGGCTGCCCCGACCTTTGTCTGGACTTGGAGTCCATAAGTGCATAATATTGTAAAAAAAAGTACAAGAAATATATATCATAATACTCGTACAAGACCATGTTTTGCTTGCTCCCCTGTTTCGCTCAGTTCTTTTCCGTTCTATTCCATGTTACGCAAAAAGTACAGAATGTTAGACAAAGCGAGTACAAATGTTGGAAATTCTGTGCAAAGGTCTATGGGAATGCCTCTCCAGCAAAACATTCATGAATTTGTGCTGCCAATCATGAATGCGCTTCGGCTGTAAAAATCTCGGATGCGGAGAAGGAAGATTAGGGATATTTAGACAATATTTATTTGCATAGCAAAGAAGTTCCTCGAACATGCATATACTCGACCAGCTAGGGGGTAACTACTTCGTAACAAATTCAACTACCTTTTAGCTGCTTTTGCACCATGACAACGGAGCGCTGTTCGTACACCAAAACCACCCAGAGCAACTTCCAACACATTGTTCCCCCCCACATACCTTAACCGTCTTAAGCAAGTCTCGCTTTCAGGGGCTCCCTTTATTCTATTGACTCACTTTTAGCCGTGTTTATTATTTAATGGCTTAACTAGCTTGCTACTCAACACCTTTTTGGCCAAACTTTAAGTCTCCTTAACTAATTTGAACGCTCGAAAAATGTGCAAATAACTTCAGCAGTCGAGAGCTGAGCGAAGCTCACCTGAAAAATAAACTTCTCAGTGCAACAACTTTCTTTCCCAGAAGTTTGAGATGGAGTTGGAGTCGGAGTCGGTACGTGCTGGTGTCTACCTCTGAGCCATACTCCAGCCTGTGGCCATTTGTCTAAGCCGCTGACACATTCCCGTGGTGCCAGCGTTTTGGCCAACGGCAGCCAATTTACATTGAAATCTTCTTCAGACTCCGCCTGGACTAGGTCTATTCTATGCCCGAGAGCATCAAGCTTAAGCATTTTTATTTTACTTCTTATGTCTTTCCTTCTTGCCTTTGCCATTGTGAAGAAGTAGTTGAACTATTTCAATGCACCCACATGCAGCGGTGCAGCGGGGCAGCCTGGCAGCTCGAGTCTTCTCTGCAGCATCTTCAGGTGCAGTCAGGCTTGTTCCTGTTTGAAAGAGCGAGTCCCCTCCACTGTCTATGACTGCAGGTGTTGGTGCTCCTTTTTAGCCAGAGTCAGCCCCAGCCTCAGCCCCCACTTTGAGTCTAATTTCGCTGCAGCTAAAGTTCTTGTTTGTGTCTTATGAAAGTGCATACAGTGGGCCGACCAAAGTTTAAACTTGGTTTTGGATTAAGTGTTGGACTATCCATTGGAAAATATTTTGCTGTTAGCTTAAATACAACTTCCTGATGGCTCGATTTTGGCTCGTGTTCTTATGCCCCAAAGTATGCTCCACTAAATGAGTATCTGAACTTTGTGCTTAATGCTTGAAGAGACCTTCTGGGCTGTCTGGTTTGAACACACTGTGCATTCTCGATATTCCCCTTACCGATTTCCCAGTGCTTTGAATTGCAATCCACCCATACACACAGAGACACACCACCCACATTCACGCACACACACTCGAACTAAAAGTTGGTTAAAAGAAAGCAAAAACGAAGCAAAGCAGAGCAAACTCTTCCTTCGCTTTGTGCAATTTAAGACTTGAGCAAGAGAATAAATTGCATAAAGCGGGAAAAACTTGCCCAAGTTTGCCGCCTGCCAGGCCCCTGCGGAATGTAAAAGAGAAATATTTATACAGGATTGATGGGAGCATCCTTTTCGTGCCTTTCCTTTCGTTACTTCCAGCGCCTGATGGACTCGGCCGAGCAGGCGGCCCTCTCCGAGATGGACGGCCAGGGACAGGCAGAGGCACCCCTGGGGGGACCGCAGCAGCACTACGATGCGAGGCGAATCAACGAGTATAATGCCGATGGCAAGCTGGCGGACGGAGCACGTCATATGGATATACGGTTCATGCGACGCTTCGAACGCCTCCCGGTCAATCTCAGTCTAAGCTCGATTCTGGTGCCGCACGGCGTCGATTTGGATGAGACGGACGTGAAGTCGGCACTGCAGTGGAGCGCCCACTTGGACCCACTGTTCCAGAACAACTTAGAGCAAGATCCGGCATTGTCATGGCAATACTTTGGCTCATCATCGGGCTTCCTGCGTCGCTTCCCGGGCACGGCCTGGCCCCCCGAGGGCTCAAAGGGCAGCAAACTCATTCACGACTTTCGCACCCACAACTGGTTTGTCCAGGCCGCCTCCTCGCCCAAGGATATTGTGAGTATATCCCCAACCCAAGTAAAGACTGAACAGCTAACAGCCTTGCTTTTCAGATGATTCTATTGGATGCCTCGTCCAGCATGTCGGAGAAGTCCTTTGACCTTGGCATGGCCACGGCCTTCAACATTCTGGATACCCTTGGAGAAGATGACTTTGTGAACCTGATCACATTCTCGGAGGTGGTGAAGGCGCCCGTGCCATGCTTTAAGGATCGCATGGTTCGTGCCACACCCGACAACATACAGGAGATCAAGTCAGCGGTGAAGGCCATCAAGCTGCAGGACACGGCCAACTTCACAGCTGGCCTGGAGTATGCCTTCAGTCTGCTGCATAAGGTAAGCTCCGCCTCAGTCTCAGAGTGATGTGCCTAACCCTTACCCTCTCTCTTGTAGTACAATCAATCCGGTTCGGGGAGTCAATGCAATCAGGCCATCATGCTGATCACGGAGAGCACTTCGGAGTCGCACAAGGACATCATCAAGCAGTACAACTGGCCGCATATGCCCGTGAGGATCTTCACCTATCTGATTGGCAGCGACTCGAGCAGTCGGAGCAATCTGCACGACATGGCCTGCTCCAACAAGGGCTTCTTCGTCCAGATCAATGACTACGAGGAGGCGCGACGGAAAGTGATCGACTACGCTTTGGTTATGGCCCGGCCCATGATCATGTACCAGGCGGATCATCCGGTGCACTGGAGTCCCGTGTTTGTGGCCGGCAAATCTGGCGGCCTGGGGCGGGACTCGGAGTACCAGCGACGCCTGGTCACGACAGTTTCAACTCCGGTCTTCGATAGACGAAACCATTCGGTGCGCGTTGCCAATCTGCTGGGCGTTGTGGGCACCGATGTGCCCATCGAAGAGATACGCAAGGTTATACCCCAACACAAGCTGGGACCGAATGCGTATTCGTTTATCGTCGATAACAATGGGCGAGTGCTCTACCATCCCGACCTGCGTCCGCTGGGCGATGGCAACCAGTACATCGATCAGCTCAAGCCGAAATACGCCTCAGTCGACATCACGGAGTTGGAACTGCCGGAAACGGAAATTGGCAACGATCACGAGATCGTGGAAATGAACAAAAATCTGCTCAGTGAGGTGTGTATGAATGCGAGAAGCTAAACGAGAAGCAAGCTACAGAAATATTTCCTTTCAGATGCGCGGTGACATGATTCGACCCAAGGAGGGCGAAACCGAGTTCACCGTCCTCAACCATTACGATGAGGTCAAGCGTGTCTCGACTCGAACGCATCGCTACTTCTATGGCCCCATCGAGGACACACCTTTCACGCTGGCTATTGTGCTCCCGGAGAAATACGGTAGCCACGAGTTAGTCTCCCAGCAAGAGATCCGGCATTCGCGTAACAATGGTGAGTTAATACATGCAATGCACGTCAACGCATCCTCGACTAACGCTCTGTCTTCTAGTTACCGAATACTTTAAGGGAGACAACTGGCGCGTACATCCCGAGTGGGTGTACTGCGAGTACAATAGCGTCAGCGACTTGGAGAAGGAGCGCGAGAGCTCCGGCGAGTATTCGTCACGCGATCAAGAGCCCAGCTTTGGGTCACCTGAGGAGCAGGTATTGCATTTTCTGGCTCGCGCCGGACGCCCTGGTTGGAAGTGGATGTCGGTAAGCAATCGAACTTGAGGCTGGGCTACATGAGGGGCTCTCTGCTGTGTGTCATTTCAATAATCTCTTAATCGTTTCAATGCCAGGTTCGACCCAAGTCGCCGCAGCCACATCACAACATGCACAGTGGCTCCAACGGCAATTCGCCCGGATCGAGCCACTTTGGGTCACAGCATCTGAATGCTCAGGGTTCTCGCAAGGCTGAGCCTTACTTTTGCGATCGAACCCTCATCCAGAGCTTGGTGCGTGATGCCATGGTCACCGATGGTCTCGACAGGAATACAACAAGCAGCTCCAACGGCAAGGAGGATAAGCAGTAAGTTCTCAATCAGTTTTCTTCTTTACATTTTAAGTTTAATTCAGTTGAATTTTTTGTTTCGCTTCTGTTGAAGCCCACTTTAATGGGGCAAGAACACTTGAAGTCTCTTGAATAAATAGTTATTATTTTTTTAATAATTAAAAATAGTTTTAAAAAATTTATTTTTAATTTTAAAAATAGTTTAAACGTAAAAATCATGAAATTTTTGTGTATTATTTTATAAGTAAATTTTGGTTTATTTTTGTTTAAAGTGTGTTTAAAAAATATATTTTTTTTAAAGAAATTTTTAAAGAAATTTCCAATTTCTAAAGCAGTTAAAACAATTAAATTTTTTCGTTGTTTTATTGATTGTTTGAAATTGATTGTTTGTTTTATTTAAAAACTTCACTAAAGCACAAAAACCATTTTCTCTCTGCGTACATTTTCCCCACTCTATTTTCTTTGATGGCAAAACCAAACTTTCCGTTTCTTTGCTATATTTCTGCACTCCCCCTCTCCCCCTACACATTATACAAAATAACCATAATGAAAATATTCTTTCCCCCACTGCAAATAATTTATGTACATTTAATTTACAATTTCAATTTTAAATGCACAAACATTTTACTTGATCAATTTCTATAGTCCCATCGCCACATTGATGGCTATTCTCAAGAGGTAAATGGAAGAGTAATTTGTATCGAGTTCAAAGTTCGAGTAGTGTTTGAACAATGCAATCGCTTTTGAGGACCAGCCACATCACGGAGCAGGCTTGAACACAATCCCCTAGAAATTGTTATCTGAAAACTTCTACTTTAACGCTGACCCTAAGACAATTAAAATGATATCAATACGAGGATATTAAGTTGCTTCTTTTCCTTTCCCATAGGCAAGGCTATTCGAAGTTTTTGGTCGCCACCTCCTTTGTGGCCACTCGCTCGGGTCTTCTGCGTTGGATTGATCACATCAAGAGGCCCGAAGATACACCGGAGCCGTAAGTCAACGATTGCCTGGCTTGACATTGATTTTCAACAAGATTCCCTGTTTATCTGTTACAGCCACTTCAGCGAGGATAACGTGAGGGCCATGGACACATCGTGGTATAAACGGGCCATAGATCAGCACGCGGTGGAGCCGGATAGTTTCGTGTACAGTGTGCCCTTTGGCTCCGGCTATGCCATCAAGTCGAATGCCACTCTGGTCACTGCATCCCATGCCATATTCGTGGAGCATCGCGGCCACAAGGCCCCAGCAGGTGTTGTGGGCCTGCAATTCCAGCACGATTCCTTGGCCAAGCACTTTATAAATATCACCTCAACTGTGAGTGCACATAGTGGGTTTTGTGATCTGTACATTTATACTGAAGAGAATGCTTTGTTTTTCAGTGCACCGCAGCGAGTGCATCGGGCTGCAAGAGAACCTGCGCCTCGGATAATCTAGACTGCTATGTGCTGGACAACAGCGGGTTCGTGATCATCTCCGAGGAGATGGAGCACACGGGCAAGTTCTTCGGCCAGATCGATGGCACCATTATGGACTCGCTGGTGCAGGATCGCATCTACAAGCGAGTGACCGTCAACGACTTTCAGGGTGTGTGCTCCGATGCGGACAATCCGTATACGGCTGCTGGTGGCATTCTGAAACCAAATCGCTTGGGCTCTTGGTTCTTTAACCATTTGGTGGCCCTGAGTGCCACCTGGCTGTCCTTTATGCCGGCAAGGCTGCGTGCCTGGCCGCAGGATGAGTACACCTATGATAACGAGGATGTTGTCTTTGTTGAGAACAATTATTCTGATGAATACGATAATTTTGACAATGACTACGGCTTGCCAGTGGATCAGGAAATGGATGAGTTCTTCACCACAGCAGATGTGGTAAGATTGTGTTTATTTAATAATATTTCCAGTCTCATCTGTTTCTTTTCTAGGAGTACACAACGCCACCTCCCAAGGTGCACAAGCCCCATGTCGGTCCACGATTTGCTCCAGATCCTCAGAACGCGAGAAGGTGCGATCTGCGCACGGATCTCTACATGCTGCAGCCGGAGCGACTAACGCAGGGCGGCCAGAACAATCCACTGAAGGTAAGAGACATCACACCACAGGCGTACGTCCAAGTTTAATCTTACATAAACCCTCTTCCAGGGGAAACTGACCAATTGCCACGTCTCTGGCTGCGAGCGCCCGTTCAGCGTCCAGAAGATCCCGCACAGCAATCTCATTCTTCTGGTGGTGGACACTCTGTGTCCGTGTGGCTCCAAGCAGCTGGACATTGAGCCCTTGGAGGAGTCCGGCGTTGTGGGTGAGTATTTTGGCGCACTTATCATACCCTAGAAGTTTTGATTGATCTCCATTTCTGGTGGCATTCTAGGTGCTTGCAGCACGAGGCGCCAGACACAGGAGCAAGAGGCTCGCCGCCGGCCCAGGAAGTGCATCAACTACCATCCCGAGGAGATTGAGATACAGCAATGTGGGCGTGGCAGCAACCTAAGTCACATGTCCATCTCGGTGATCGTGGCCCACATTCTGATGGTGACGGTGACCTTTGTGCTGTCCAACGCGTGATATGAGTACTAAGCGGGCACGAGGACGAGAACGAGTTGGAGGACCTGCTGCAGTCGCGGAGATAGAGTTTTTCTGTAATCCAAATGGTTCGCAAGGAGAGGAAAACGGATTTAAGTTTTGTTGATTTGAAGGCGTTCTTTGCAAGGCCAAAGAGCGAAAGTAAACATTAATAATATTTATTTAGAAATACGCAAAAGCAAAAGCAAAAGCAAAAGCAAACGTTACACTAACGAGTTAATATCCATATGTTTGTAGACAATAATTTGGCAGGAGAGGATATCCGTGCACAATTAGAGAAATCGTTAGCTAAACCCCAATTTCCGCATGTGTTTGTGCAATAAGCGGAATGGAGCGGAACAATTAAAATCAAATTATTTAGTCAAGGATACATAAATACTTTCTAGAGCGAGCTTTGTTTCCTCCCCTCCTAGTTTAGCCCATTGATTTCCCCAAATACGAGCAAAAGCAAATAGTTACGAGCACTCACTGAATTAAACATATGATGGGGAAAAAAGCTGTCAATCGGTTTGTGTAAATAGTATGAGAAAGTATTCAATATGAACAAAATTCCTACCGAAAAATATTCCATTCAAGAACAAGTTTTTCCTTTTTGTCAGTCTTACAACTTGAAGAGAAATATGGAGTTCCATTTGGCACTCAACTGCGAACGCACAAGATATCAAGTATTATGTACGAGTATTTTACAACAAAACATAAAGGAGAATTCACTGAACAAACGGAAGACTTGAAAAGCAACCAGGCAGCAATGTATAAACAAAATCACAGAAAAAACCAAACAAAAACCAAAGCAAAGCAAAGTTGTAGACAGTACAGTTCATATCGCAGACATGAATCTGCACAAATGAGTTCATATATGGGTGACAGCCTTTTTTGAACAGCAATAAAAACACAAATATGATGAAGAGTACGAGTATAAATATATACTAGTATGTAATAATAATTTATAAAACAAATATTCAATTAGTTTTGCAGCGAACGAAACGAAACAACCCAAAAAACCAAACGAAAAATAATCATTTATTTTATATACACTTTTATACAAACATAATTTCTTATAAAAAGCAACAGGAGCGGTGGCAGAGAAAAGCTAAAGAACAAAAAAAATGTATCTAACAGATAAAATTATGTTTTAGTTCCAAAATTGTATAAACTAAATATGCATGACTTTTGATTTAATGTTATTTCTGTTCTTCTAATCTAAAGAAATTTACATATCGATCACGATTTGGCCAGTAACAAAAACAAAAAAATACTTTTCTCTACTACGAAACACATAAAGCAAGTAAAAGCAAACTATTTGAGGTATAAAGAAAGATCACTCAAAACACGTACATAATCACACATCATCTACACCCCCACACACACCTACACACATACACTCTACACTCGACACAAACAAACCTATAAAATATATAAAGAAAGAGTATTTTCTGTGTCTTAAACTTGTATAAAAAATGTCTTCCATTAAAATACTTAACAAAAAAAACCAAAGTAAAACAATTTATAACTCAATAACTATTGCTTAAATAAAACAAAAAAGGAAAAAACAAATACAAATACAAATATAAAAGTAAAAGTAAAAGTAAAAGTAAATATATATATATATGCTAATCATATATTTAACTCGAAAACTCATTAACCAAGCATGAACAACTTTAAGTGGCTCGTTCTACTTCGTACGCACAGCTATAAGCTGGGGCAGACGGGGCAGAGATGGCAGCGAACCCGGAGAACATTCGTACACACATAGAGTTCTAGATAATTTAGCTAGTTAGGAGCCGTAGCAGCGTCAGCGGCGACCACAGAACAAACGGAAACAAAATCCATACAAGCATTAGATGAATATTAGCAGAATATTTATATAAATATGTAATAATACTTGAATACACAACTTAACCATAATAATCAATTGTAAGTCGTACTCCTAAGAGCTGTTTGTTAAACGTTGACGATGACGATGACGATAACGATAACGATGTCGAGGGTTCAGATGAAAGTATGGCTGAAGTGCGACGAGGATTGCGTGATGTGGGAAAGCAGTGCGTATGCGTATGCTTGATCTGTATCAGAGTGACTTTGTGTGTGAGTATGTGTGTATGGCTGAGGACATTGACTGACATTAAATAGCAGGTTGGCAGGGGAGGGATGTGAGAGAGCGTGTGCTGGGACAGTAGAGACAGTGTTATTATACCGATAAAACTTAATGTAAGCAAAAGGACATTGGAAAACGATCATAACTCGACCTGTTCTCCCTCTCTATCCATATCATCCATTTAGAGCATGTGTAGTCCATCACTCCCCCGCTCTATCTCTCACTCTCTCTCTCATTGTATTCGTGCAACTAATCCACTGTAAAATTGCATTTAATTCCTTCACCTAACTTCAACTCGAAACTAATATACATGTTTATGTATTTAACTTTTTGCGAAAACAAAAGATTCCATATCAAAATACAATTGAAGCAAAAAAACCGAAAAAAAATACGAAAATCTATACAAAAACTACAAATAACAAGTAATAATGTTCTGCAACATTTTCTATGTTTGTTTATTTTTATAAAAAAATCGAATGTTTGTATGTGTAGTCCATAATTTTCTAAAGGCATATGAATACGAGTATATTGCAAAATGCAAAACCAAAGTAATATTTATTGGTCTTAATGGAATGAAAAAAGAAAACATAAACGAAACTACCATTATTAACTTACGAATTAAATCAAATTTTTGACAATGCGATTTTTGCTTTTTGGAAATCGTGCTTTTTGCTAAAACAAAACCAAATCGATCGAAACAAAAATGAACTATAATTATAATGAAAACAACATACTTTTGCTCTCTATAAACCTTATATACAAGCACCTTTCTATATAAAACGTTTATATAAAGCAAACCGAAACCAAAATGACAAAAACAAAAAAAAAACATAATTACAGACTATATAGAACACGTAATACCACTGATCCTTCTATTCTATCTTCCGACATTCCACATACACAGAGAAACTAACCCCTTCCGGGAAGTAATACCATCCTAATTTGCAACTCTTGATTTTTGTTTATTTTATTTAATTTTTGTTTGTTTTCAATTGCCAAACTCAGTGTTTAAAATAAGACCAAGTGAAAAAACAAGGAGAGAAAATTAAATTAAAAGAAACGAAACGAAACGAAAAGAACTACGCATACATTCATGTATAATTAGTGAACAGTTACTGACTAACAAACGTTATTTCAAACTCAAGTCATTCTATCAATAAAAGTATTCAAAGTAAATAAATTCTGTTATTGTTGTCGAGGCATTGAAATATAAATATTGAGGCCGAAAAACTAAAGCAACTTTTAAATAAGTGAGAGAAATTGTTGTTTCATTAAATTTGTCATTATGAGAATTGAAAATATAAATGTTTAATGCAAAATGGTGTAAGAAATACATATAATTGTGTATACACATATAATTCATCATATACATAAATACATACTTATATCTGTATATTCCAGAAACCCCCCAAAAAGATATAAAAATTAAATAATTAACGACAGACACTTTGGAAGCTTACAATTTGGAAAAGCCGAAAAAACATTACTTTTTTTTCGACAATTAAATAAAAACATTGATACACAAACACACACACACACTTATAGACAAAGCTTATGTTTTTTTTTTTTGTATGGAAAAGTCTACAAAGAATTTCACCTAATAGTTTAAAGACAAGGCAAGCGGAAATACTATTAAAAAATTAGTAAAATAAAAGGAAAAGGAAGAGGAAAACATTCACGCATTGAGAAAAACCTAACTATTAAGATACAAAGAAACAAAAACACACCTACAAAAAAAAAAGGAAGAAGAAAAGCGCATACATACATAAACTAATTATAAATTAATATAAACTTGCTCATTATTCTAATTATAAACCGAAACTTATAAGTAAATGGTAATACTTAAATAATGCAATTAAAACCAAATTAAGATTAATACAACACGAAACAGGAAGAAGAACAACTAATAATATTATAAATACATAAAATGAGAACAGAAGAGCAGAAGAAAGCGGGATAAAAAACAAAAGAAACTGAATTAAAAAAAAATTAAATGAAAAAAGTATTACGAAATATTGAAAAGTGTGTAATTTAATTGGAACCTAGGCATTCCCATTAATTAATGGTTAGAAATCCTTTGTGACCTAGCCAATAAATCACGATACGAAAAGGTGATTGACTACACGCCTCTATCAGTCGGGGAGCCATACTGGGCCACCATTGTGGGTCGTGATTTTCCATATCGTTTATCGTTTGGATTTCCCCGGGCACTTCTCCGGCAATCAGTAATAGGCACTGAAGTTAATTAAACGACCATCACAGCCAAGTGCTCGTCCGGTCTTCGTACATTCGAAATAACGATCGGCATGATTGATTAGCCCAATGCGATCCGTGTTGAGGCGAAGAACAAAATGTAAACATGCTCACGCACTGGGGAGTGGGGAATCACCAGTTGGCACTTGAACTTGCTCCCAACAATGCCAGATAAGATACCGCGGCACGCGCTCAGCCTCAGCCGCAGCCTCAGCCGCAGCCTCAGCCGCAGCCTCAGCCGGGCTATTGCAATTGAGGTGCTGTGTCATCAAAAATATATGTACACAATCCGGATCGATTCAGCAGGGGTTGGGGCTTGGCCCAGAGCTTTCCTAATCAGATAATCTAGGGATATGCTCATAAATGTGTATGACTTTTTTTGTTATTCTCAACTAATGGACTGCATCGCAAGATTAGATTCCACCAATCAGTTTCGATTGGATTTTTCCTTTAATTTGTTGGTATCAACGAGGTTATGACAAGGCTACACATGCCTTTTAATTGTTTCTGTTGTTTTTTTCTTTGCTTTTGGCATTAGCTATTAACATATATAATCCCTGACTTTATTCATTTCCTTTTCGATGACTGCCTTATCTTCGGTACATAATCGACTTCTGCATACGCAATTGTGTTGGTGTTTTAATCGTTTTGCAAAACTTGGGGTGCCTACTCATTTGACAACTGATAATTCGGTCAAGCTTAGACTTTGTTTTACCATCGAAACGTGTGAATCACTCAGAGCTCCAATTGGATTACAAAGGTCAATTATGCAAGCCCATCCAACGAGCTTGGGGAACATTGAAAATCTTTCGAGATAATGTTTAAATTATATTATTTAAAAACACAACCTAACTTACGTTCTTCCCACCAACCAAATTGAGAGATACATTTTGGCAATTAGCATCTCTCCAACTAATGCACGACATGTGGCACCAGTCGGCGCATAAGGCGGAACTGTCCGCACCAGTCATTCAATTGTGGTAAGGGGATAAATGCGTAGCATATGTGCTAAATATAGAAGTGGTTTTATATTTTTAACATATGCAAAAAAAGCAAGGAAAATAATTAAATGGTACGCCGACGGTCACGTCACCGTTTAGCGTTCCAAGAGATCTGTGCATCATCTGTGACGACTGGCCCTGGCCCTCTCTCGAAATTCTGGCAGACACGAGCTGCATGCGTGTTCCTCGACAATTCGTATTAATTGCTCTTTACTGCAGCCAGATGATTGAGGGAATTGAGCGGAATACGATTCGATAAATTCGTATTTGGGCTCAGATCTCGAAATGGTTCACACGTTCGGCACATGACTCGTAAGTGATGGACTTTGGTCTCGAGAAAATCTAAATATACCCCTTCTCGCATCTCAATTTCAAAATAATCGATTGTGTCGTCTAGCCCAGCAGTCTGCTCTTCTGGCTGGACTGGGACTGGGACTGGGGCTGCGACTGCCATCGCGACTGCAGTGGGTCCAGGGTCCAAGTTCTCAATCCATCTTGTTCAATATCGTTCATGGCTCGCCCTTACTCCTCTTCATTTCAATTGTTTTATATTGTACAAAATTCATGGAAAGTTTCCCCAGTGTACTGATTAAAGAGCCTCGCTTCGACAGAGTTTTTAATTAATTTCAAACACCACATGCGAGTACACCACATTTTTTGCTGCTTTCAATTACAGATATCTTTTGCGCCCGGACCAGGATTCACGCTCTGACCGCATGTCTGTTGACCACCATTGGGACAGCACCTGTACGGCCAAAAGCCCAAAAATTCGACCGCCTGGTCATTCCGATGATTCATCCAATATTAATAGCTTTTGCGATGCGTGTGTATCTCTTTAGCGCTCTTTGATCGGCTATCATCGAGCGATATGTTGTGAAATCAAATGTGCGATAATTGCTTGGACATTATTCTCTCCAGGGCTGGACGAGGAATGAAAAAATCACACATTTGCTATTGAATATAACAATTAATAGCATAATTTCCCAGGGCTATCCTAGATGCATTCAGTTAAAACGAAGTTCGATCGGTAGCTAATTATGATGCTGCGCCGAATCTCAATCTAAGCGAAATTTGTAGCTGACATAATTAAAAAATCGTATTTGCTACACAGAAGATCCGTTCTAGTAGATAGTCCTAGAGAACTTTAGCCATTAATTAAGTTCCGAGAAGACAGTTCTTTGATGAATGTGCGCTCCAATAATTATATTTTTTAGAAATTAAATTTCTTTGTTTTGCGCTTAATTATAAAATCGAAAGTCGTGGGTGTTATCAATGGTTATCAGAAAGTATATGTAGATGTAGATGTGTGCTTATTATGTCTGGCTACTTTCCGGTTGTCAACAAGAAATCCTCTGTAATCAGAAGACTTTGTGCTGACAGCCTTCAATCTAACCTATCAACCCAAAAATGACTGCGGTACAATAAATTCAACTTGCTTACAGAACTCTATTTTCGTGTCCCATTTTCTTGTATTTTTTGCACAATCGGCAAGGGTTAGTGGGTGTGCGTACTAATTTACTCTTCGTTGGGGTATACTTCTTAGGTGCTGAAGTTTGCCAAACAGATAAGGAAGCAATTGCAAATCGATGTGCAATATATGTGTGTTCGTGATCAGCATCAATGGCATAGTCTAGACGAGCAAGGTTCTTTCAGTATTCATGCGTGTAATACATATAGTGAATACACTTGTAAAGATTTCACCCAAGAATGATTTTTTGTTCAATTTATCGATATACAGTGGACCTGCAAGAGATGTTTTAGAACCGAAACATGTTGGGTAAAGTGAAAGTAAAACGCAAAAAAAAACAATAATAGGAATTATTTGTGGATTTAAATGCGATCTACAGGAAATACACTCTTACCAGAGACACGGCCATGATAAGCCGAGCTTTATGTGATGTGTTTTTTAGCACACGCGCCACAGCTGTACGCTGGGAGCAATAAAGTGTTCGTTTCTGAGTGAAGCAGTACAGGACGTAGTAGTAGTACGCCGCTATAGGAGGTAATTGCCGATTACTAGAAACATTCCATCACATTGTAGTTGAGGTGAACGCTTGAATGTATCAAGGCAAGCAAAAACAGAGATAGATCTAATCAGTCAATTGGCATGTGGTCTGAAACTGAAACTGAAACACGAACAAGAACATAATCTACATAATGTAGGCCCATAGTCATGCCCCACGGACGTGAAAACTCTATTATACGTTCATCCATGCTAATCGATGGTAATAGCAAATCGAAACGAATCGAACACAATCCATAAACAAGAAACCTCAAGAACGTCATAAACGCTGGCCATAAATTGGCCCGAATGAATCGATCAGAAGGCAGCGAATGAAAACGAAAACGAAACCTATCAGGGGAAAGCGCTGGGAACTCATAGGAGAAATGCCCGCTATCAGACACTTGGTGGCCAGCGTGAACTTTGGACTGGTTCAAGCAGCACAGCAGAGTAGCCCCAACATTGGACTCCCAGTCCAGGCGATGACTACGACCAGACGACGAGCGACGTCAGGTCACGTTTTGAGTGAGGTGTGGGTGCTCCAGGCAGGAGGCGACCGCCGACCGACGACCAACGACGACAAGCGGAACGACCGCCTCGAAGCTCCAACCGTATTTCGGATCGCTGTCACGAAGTCATCCAGAGAGGGCCCAGTCTCGTCTTATCACTTCACTGCTCTCTCTCTCGCGATATCTCTCTCTCTCTCTCTCTATCTCGCTCTCTCGCTGGCACCCTCTCTCCGGCTTGATGGAAGCCACGCCGAATACAAAAATTGCGCATCGCCCAACACATCCCAGCCAGAGCAGAGCATACCCATGCCATACCCATGCCATACCATACCACACCATCCAACCAGACCAGGGCAGCCTTTACGGTTGCTGCCGGCCATCGTCAAATTATTCACACGCAGACGTTCTGATCGATCGGACCAAACAAAACAAAAAGGTTTTTTAAAGTACAAGAAACAAGAAAATACAAATTTGGAGACCATACATTGTTATATATTATCAAGAAGCACGATTTCTTGTGTGCCATCTGTGAAAAACACTTGTGAAAAAAGAAAGAATTAACATTTGATTTTGTTTAATGACAGAACTGCTTGTCACTCCCAAGGGTTCAAGTTCAAATGGTGAAATAATAACAATGATTTTCTTGTGCTGATTAATTGCAAAAAAAAAACATTTCGAGGAAAAAACAAACTATTCAAGGACATTCAGGAATAATCCAAAAAGAATAAATTCATCTACAGTTAAAAGAAAAAGTGACTTAGGTGAGTTACATAACACAATGGACCATATGAAAAATGTCGTAATATTTCAGAAAGAGAAAAGTGAAAAAGGTGTTCCTTAAAGATAGTACTAGACCATGTAACCATGTGGATGACCAGTCAAAAAATATATTCCCAACATATGGAATATTCTAGTTAATTATCATTTCATGGGCTGATTGCTAATAATCAAGTTATTAAGCCTTCCCTCGATCAGAGGCCTATCACTTGATTAGTTGGCACTTCAGCACTGACGCATAACGTTTTGGGAGCCTACCATTTAACCTCAAAAAGCTTTAGGGAAGCGTGCGCAAAATATTTTGGACAGACTTTTGAGCTGAATTTATTCGAAATCCTTAAATTATTTTACGGTTTAATTATTTTGTGTTTTGATGAGTGTAGGGGCAAAAAGTATTAAGAGCGATTTATTTCTGCTGCTGGAGGCAATCGGGGCAATCTACGAGAACGGCTCCAAAGTTCACAGAGAGACATGCTCCAAAGAGCTGATCGTCGTAGGCAGCGTGAAAACACACACATTCGTGAAAGAGCAGAGCAGAGCACAGAAAGCGACAGATTTATTGCCAAAATCCGAATGCTGGGCCATTTTTTCGCAGTGCATTCAACTGCCGCAGAAGAAATGCAAGTGATAATGCCGGGCAATTACGATAGCCCCAGCAGCTGCCCCGTAATTAATGCGAAGATGATACGGCCGAGCGAGGCATGGAAAACCCCCAAGAAGAGTCGTCAAGCTGTACTTTACACCCCACAGCGTACCAGCCGAACGTCTCCGAACTGAACTCAACTCAACCCAACTCCACTCCAGTTTGCAGCGGCTCTAGAGAGAGTCAGCTCAAGTCACGCAGCGCCAGCGTGTTCGATGACGTAGACCAGCCTCAATCGAAACTCTCCCCGTTGCCGTCAAGTGACCTTCTTAAATTACGCCCCGCGCCCTTCGTCCCTCCTTTGGGGCACCGATTGGTTGGCAAACTAGAGTCGCACGCCGTTGATTGATTCGTAGGCCTGATAAGTCGGTCAGTCGTTACATTTCGTACAGCGTCAGGCTGACATTAATTACGTCAAAAATGGGCCGCATGTCGCGTGTTGGCGCCAGGCCCTGCTTCCTGATCCCCCCTGGTGCCATGAACGACGTCACTTCTGGAACGTGGCAGTCAACGTTGAGTTCCCGTGGAAAAATATTCGATCAGATGATAGAGGATGACCTATGCTGAAGGGAAGGACGTAATTGAAGTGGAAGTACGTACATATGTATGTAAATACATATAAGCCCCCGTGGTTAATGGGAACTTTCTTATATAACATTTTCATATTGTTGCATAATATACACCAAAAGAAAGCTCTCAACGAGTACAATTTGGTTATAATTCTCAATGCTTTTTAATCAAAGAAAACCATAATTTTCCCGGAATCAGACATTGGCCAGTATTCGTTTTGAGGATCTAATTGAAAATCTTCAATATGAGTATCAGAAAAATCCCAGTTCGTGACGAGCACAAGCACGTGCTTCCACTTAGAAATTGAAATGAATTTAAACGTTTAACTCGTGATTTTCTTGGCATTCACAGGTAAATATGTATGTGCCTACACATATATGCACAGTTTTCTTGACCTTTACCGACTGTTCCACATTAAACAGAGAAGAGAACAAAAGAAATGCTGGCTGATGAAATTCCCATACGAAAATATACACACACCAGACCAAAATGCGCGCTTTCCAATCAAAATAAATTCATTTGAATTGGAAATAGGTAAATGTGTAAATTTCAAAAAGCGAATTGCTTAATCATTTGGAGTGCGAATGATTTGTTAATCGACACCATCGATTACCTAAATCCGATTAAACGGGTTATAAATCACACATCAAGCGTCGTTAATTGGTGGCCCATTGGTGAAGATTTGTGCCATATCTCATGTACTCGCACTCGTATGTAGATCGGCGGCACCTCCATAAAACAGAGCCACGTTCTCGGAGGGATGGAGAGGACTGGCTTATCAGCACCGTTTCAACATTAATTGATTGACACACAATCGAGTCAGATCATCAGAGTCAAGCTTGATTGTGCCTTGGGGTAATTAGCATGAATGAGTTTCTCGGCAAGATCATGGAATTCAATTCAAGTGGCCCGAATATTCCCTCTAGGGGGCAAACGGTTGCCAAAATCGCACTGCTGCTGCCACTGTATAGGGGGCGTGGCGATGGCAGGTGTGCCGAGTACAAAAATAACGCTGCAAGCAAATAATTATGCATTTTCGTTCCCCGACTTCTGTCAAAGCTGATGCAATGGACACCACACTTTGCATATGCAATTGTCTGCAGCGAGCGCCATGAGACCATGGTCTCGTCTGGCTCTGGCCGGTGTCTGGGGGGGAAGTCAAGACGCAGCTAAGAGCACGATCGGGTGCCGGCCGTGCCGCTCGGCTCTGCTCTGCTTTGCTCTGCCCGATTCGGATGGGTGGTGGCATTCGCCTTCTCTGCGCTTCTCTTCTCGCTTTCTCGCTCTCCCTCTCACGGAACGATCAATCAGAGGCGTTCGTCACATAAATTGTTCTACTAATCAGCCAACGGCTTCATTCATTCACAACTCGTTTGCGCTGTCTGTCGCATGCCAAACGAAACGGAACACATTGAAAAGTATATGTACAAAATAGTACAAACGCTGCCCAAAACCAAATAATTAAAGAGAATCTCCCGTTTCGTGTCCGGGTTCAAGCGAGCAGACCCCCCAGATCGAGCGCCTGCCGAGTCATCAAATTACTTACCCAACAAGTGAAGTGCGATCGCGGTACGTGTGTGGTCGTGGTGCCTAATTGCCACCTAATTACACCTGCTTATCAGCAACTCTAGAAACTAATATACGACAAGCATCTAAAGCGAATCCTAGCCCGATTAACACTAAACATTTCCGTTGTGCGCAATTCCAGCCACAGCTCAGCACAAGCCTGAAACCAGTGATAACGTCAATTAAATATTTCACATTGAAAACGAAATAAAATCTTCTGCCAATTAAAACTCATTCTGAGTAATTTGCACTTTGCCGCGATTTCAATTCCATTCAATGGTTTTGGATTGGATTGGATTCGATTGGATTCGATTCGATTGCTGACTAAAAGTGATGCAATTTAGCTGAAAAATTAAGTGAGATTTTTTCGTTGCCCTGCGACTTGCAATTTGAACTCTGGACACTAGAAGTTGGCATATCAAATTGGAATTGTGAGGTAGCGGTAGCTGCCCCCATAGTGCCAATGAAATGTGATCTACAATGGTAGTAGAAATTTGACCACTTTTCAGGGCGATATTTAGTTGTGTGTCAGAATAATTTTAAATATTCCATATAAACCATAATCAACATACAATTCCAAGTTAAACAAAGTTTTCTTCGTTCTCTAACTATTTGCAGATCGCCAAGAAAATTGGAAATCTCTGACAAACTTCATCATGCATTCGCCGAGCGTATAAGTCGTGCAGCAAAAGTTAATAATAAATCCCTTTGAGCATCTAAAGTGATTCAAGAAGGCAGCAAAACGGCCAAAACAAGTGAATTCATCTGCAATTCTATGAATTTTGTAAGCCAAAAAACATCACCCATTGAGTTTTTAATGCTGCCAAAGAGATAGCAATAAGCCCCAAACAAGAGCCAGAATTGCACGAGAAAGCAACCCATTCAGAATACAAGCCAATATTGAAGCCCCATTTTGAAGATTCTGCAGTGCACGACGAGCAGGAGAGAAACAGTTGAAAATGGCAAAATATTTCATTACCTTGGTGCTGCTGCTGTGCCTGGCCCTGGAAAATAATAATATTTACAATCGTCTGCATGCCCGGTCGCATCCTAGCTCCCGCGGCGACATCCTGCGCCCGCATCCAAAACACCAGCCCCACCAGCATGTCCAGCACACCTCGCAGCAACTGCAGCAGCACCACAATCGACAGCAGCGGTCCAGGGAGCTGAAGCACGTGGAGCCGGATCCCACCAGCGAGGAGGAAGATGCGAAGAATCAGCACTACACAAGACTGAGGAGGCATCAGCTCCATCAGCGCGACCATTTCCTGCAGCAAGAGAGGAGCTACAACCATCCAGCGCTGGCGGAGCTGAAGAGCATGCCCATGGCTCGACTGTGGCAGCACCTGAGCAACGACTACGAGAAGGAGCATGCTACTGTCGATGATGGCCTGATGGACTATTCGCACATGTTCGGCGATGATCCCAATACGGCGGCCACTGACGAGGAGTCGAACCTGAGCCCCTTATTCTATGTGAGGAATGAACTTTTGGATCAAGAGGTGGAGCAGTTGCTGGAGAAGCAGGTACAGAGGGAGCAGGAGGAGAGCCAGCGGCCAGAGCCGGCACCTCCAATAGTGGCTGAAGCTGAGCAAGAGCCAGAGCCAGCTGTATCCTCACGTAATGCCACCATCTCGACAAAGTCCTCCGGAGGCTGTCCCAAGTGCGAGAGCAGTCGTCAAGTGGAGCACATCACCGAAGAGGAGCTGACACATCTGCGCATCGAGTTCGTCAAGCAGCAGATCCTGGAGAAGCTGCGCCTCAAGGAGAGTCCCAACGTATCCGCGGTGGAGCTGCCAAAACCCATATTCGAGGGAGTGACGCTCACCCATCCAGATGATAGCAGCAAGAACAAGGAGCTCGACGATTACTATGCCCGCACCAGCAAGAAGTTCATCCTGCTCAATAGAGGTGAATACCATACGGGAGAGGCTCGCAAACCAAAACTAATCAATGTGCTTCCCACCGATCTTTGTCTTTCCAGAGGAGACCGAGTGCAATCGCCTGGGTGTGCATCCCTCAATGTGCTTCAGCTTCAAGATCGATGACGCCGATGCCGACGGCTTCGACGTGAGCACCGCTGTGCTGTGGCTCTTCAAGAATAAGCAGAACCACACCAGCAGACCCATCGAGGGTCCGCTGTTGAACAACACCAGGAAGCAGCAGACGATTGTTGTTTCAGAGGTGGAGCAGCAGATGGACTCCAAGTATTTGCCTCTGGCCAAAGCCATAGCCATTCAGTCGGTGGATGTCCAAGGTAAGCTAATCATAAACAAATACTCCCCAAGAAAAAAAGAATCAAATCATTCAGAACATCCTATCCGCAAAGGCACGCTTGGACCTTTGGTCAGCAGAGAAAATAAACCAAAACTGACCCCAAATACCCCTAGGAAAGAAATGATAATGGCCAACGTTGACAACCGTTGCTCCTCCATCATAATCATCATGTTTGTGTTTTCAATTAGAGAGATTCGTGATAGCCAGTCGACAGCCCGAATTCATGGATTGTGGGTGAATAACTTGACAAAATTCATAATTATTATTGTTATTGTGGGTGCAAAAACTGAACTTTGGCCACCGAAAGGTCGAGCACAGCACCCAAAATGGGAGTCAGTGCAGAGATAACCAGAATAAAAAAGATCCATAAAGTCAGTGTTGGAATGATGAATGATTCGAGTGGTCCTTGGGAACCCTATAAGTAGTTATTCATTTTGCATTTTTTTTACCATCGTTTCAGATGAATGGATGAAGATCGACATCGAGTGGCCCATCAAGCGCTGGATTGGAAGTCACGAGCTGAGCCACCTGATCCAGATCACGTGCGAGTCGTGCGATATCAGCGACATGGAGGAGATCATATCGGTGGACAAGGACTATCGACCATTCATAATGATCGACACCCAGAATCGGCGCAGCAAGTCGCGGCAAAAGCGTAGTATTAATTGCTCCAGCGGTGTGACGGAGTGCTGCCGCGAGCAGCTTTACATTTCCTTCAAGGACATTGGCTGGAGCAACTGGATCCTGCAGCCGGAGGGCTATCACGCCTACTTCTGCCGCGGCTCCTGCAGCTCCCTGGCGAGCGTCACCCAGGCTGCCTCCCACCACAGCTCATTGTTGGTAGGTTCATTAAAGACTCCACAAAAGATACTCTGATGCTGATATCGATATGAAAATTGTCTTTGCTTCTACAGAAAATCCTTAACACAAATGGTACAAACAAGTCCCTGGAGCTGGTGCCCTGCTGCACCGCCAAACAGTATTCCTCGCTGCAGCTCGTTGTGATGGACTCGAGCAATACGGCCACCCTGAAGACTCTGCCCAACATGGTGGTGGAGTCGTGCGGCTGCAGATAGTCGCCCCCAGGCCATCCAGCTGGCAATCAACCAAGTTACATATCGGACAAATTAGACATTACTCTCGCTCCATTTCCACTTAGTTAGCAGTTCGAGCGCTCAACTCCATTTCTCTTCAATTAATTTAATCTCATTTTCAATGCATTTTCATTAGCGTTAACCACTTTAGTCGTAGTTATTAGCTAGTGCCCATACTGCCATTAGTTTTAGTCGCAGTTAAGCCTTTAACAATTATTTTATTGTAGCTAAAGCTCAAGTCAATGTACTTAAGCACTCGAAGCACTGGCGAACTCTATTTTAATTTAGTTAGGAAATGGCTCCAATTAATTACAAAACATAATTAAGTTCATGCTTATTTTAAGACCATAGTTACACTGTTTAAGTAGTGTGTATTGAGTGATTGCGAGAAAACACATCAAGAAAAGCGGAAAAATAAAGCAACTCCAAATTACTTGAAAGCTAAATTAATAACATTCTGTCATTGTTTTAGATTTCTTTGAACAAATACATTCACAAAATTCCAGAGAAGTGTATCAAAATTAAATTGTAATCCTCAAAAATCCAGACATCATGTCTCTGTCTTCGAAAAGCATCCTGCGCGAAGGTTCCACCCAATTGAGCCATATATGCGAGCTGGACCTCAAGAGCCAAGCCTCACATCGCCGGCTCATATCGCTTGTAGCGACCATTTCCCGTAGTTCGCGTGATCCCGATATCATTTACAACATGCTAATGAAGGGCGTGAACATATTCCGCATGAACTTTGCCCATGAATCGCACGAGGCGCACACACAGACCATTGAGTTGGTCAATGACGCCTTGGAACGGATCAAAAAGGAAACGGGTCAGGTGCGAACGGCTGCATTGGCTGTGGACACTCGTGGGCCGCAGATCCGGACGGGCATCCTGGATGTGGGCACTGAAATGCTGATGCGCCAGGGGGAGAATATACGCCTTTCGATAAACCGGGATCTGTATGACAAGGGAAATAGGGACGCGATCTACGTGGACTACCCGAACATCATTAATCTCACCAAGCCCGGAGACCGTGTGTTCATCGATGATGGAAGGCTGTTTCTCATTATTCGCGAGGTGGGTGTGGACGGGCTCGTTTGCGAGGTCATTCAAGGCGGAATGCTGGGCAACAACTGCAACGTTATCCTTCCGGAGATCGAAATAGACCTGCCAGCGGTATCAGAAAAGGACATGTTCGACATACAGTTTAGTATGCAGGCCAATGTCGACTTTCTGTTTGCCTCGGCCGTGCGAAGCGCCAAGAATATTAAGGAGCTGCGTGCCGTCCTGGGGGAGAAGGGAAAACATATTAAGATAATTGCCAAGATAGACAGCAAGATCGCTCTCAGTCGCTTCTCCGAAATAGCTCGTGGAGCGGACGGTATTCTCCTCTCGCGAGCGGATCTCGGCACCCAGATACCCATCGAGAAGCTATTCATCACCCAGAAGAGTATCCTCAGTCAATGCAATAAGATAGGCAAGCCCTGCATTCTGGCCTCCCACGTGCTGGAGTCGATGCGTATCAATCCGTACCCCACTCGAGCCGAATGCTTCGATCTGGCCAACGCAGTCATCGACGGTGCGGACTGCATCATGCTGTCCTCCGAGGTGGCCATCGGTCCCTATCCCACCGAGACCATAGCAGTGTGCGATGGGATATGCCGCGAGGCCGAGAAGGTTCTCTGGTATCGTGACTTGTTTGCCGATTTGGTGAGCGAGGTGCGTGGCGAGCTGGACGCCGCCCATTCGTTGGCCATTGCAGCCGTGGAAACGGCCAAGCGCACCAATGCCACACTCATCATTGTCCTGACCACCTCCGGACGGTCTGCGGCGCTGGTCAGCAAGTTTCGGCCCCGCTGCCCCGTCATGGCGGTGACGCGCTGCGAACGAGCTGCCCGCTCGGTGTATCTCCAACGGGGTGTCCTACCGGTCCTGTATACAGCCGAGCCAGGCAGTGAGTATGCCGCCGACGTGGATGAGCGGGTCAATTTCGCCCTGACCTGCGCCAAAAAGGGGGAGATGATCAACGATGGCGATCCCATTGTGATTGTCAGTGCCTGGAAGGACGGCGGAGGTTTCACCAACAACGTGCGCGTTGTCTACGCATTCTTCGAGGCCGACCGCATCGACTGTCTCTTCAGAGCTGACCGACGCGCCTCCCGAAAAAATACAGCCCTGCAGGCAGAAAGTGCTCGAGAAGGTAAGTATTTAGTTAGCAATCACTGCCCAAATCCAGAAAAATTCTCACTGAGGCTCTCTTTTCAGAAAAAAAAGTCCATATGTGAACAATCATTATGGAAAAACTATTATTTAAAACTACAAATTAAATGAGATTTTCTACTACTAACTAGTAATTAAAGGTGTTGTTAAAATGGTTAATAAGAGAGTGGCATATTTACAAGAAGGTTGCCCATAGCCTCTAGGGGATGCTGTTCAATGTTCAATTAATCTTTGGTTGGAAGCTTTCTTCCACAGCTAATCTTACGACTCGTACACTCGCACCCACTCAACAATAACAAACGAATCCAAAAGCTACTTCAACTTTGGTATGTACTTTAGCAGCAGCAGAGAGTGCAAAGCATTTCTGAGCAACTCGTATGCCAAGAAGGCGAAACGTCCATTCTGCTTTGGCGTGGCCCAGCGCATTCCGAAATTGAACAGCTCCAGGACCAACAGGCTAGCGCAACGTCGGCAAATTGATGCATTTTTGGTGTCCCTAAATAGGTTGATTGCCGTTGATGGATCAGAGAATTTTATGGTATTGACTTACAGATTGGAGAGAGGCGATGCCAGAGCTATGCCCATGAGAATTCCCAGGTCTCGGACCAGATAGAAAATGGGACTTGCCTCGTGTCGCATGTAAGAAGGATCCGGGCACCACTTGAAGGCCTGCAAGAGTAAGCCAATATAAAAGAACAAACCGGTTTAAATACCATTGCTGGAGTAGAAGTCAGTAACGTATCCTTTCGCACCTCTCGCACAGACCAATGCGGATCGACGTCCAGGTTAAGCTTTGCAAAATACACTGCGGCGGCAAGGCCACCCAGCAGCAGCACGCCAGTCACTGCCCAGCGTCGACGCCTCGACCACAAATAGTCAGCATTTTGCTGCAGGGCGCCTATAGCCTGAATGCCAATGAAAGTGCCAAGGACACATTGGTGCAGAAACTCCGTGGCCAAGTACAGGCGACTTAGCCACATGCAGAAAATCAAGCCGTAAGCCACTGTACCGGCGAGCCAGCGCTGGCCGGAATGAGCGTGAGCGGAGAGGAACATCCAGATGGTGAGCGTGAACACGGTGAAGCACATGGAATGCGCACAGGGCATGCCGGCAGTCGTCTCGCAGCTTAGCGGATGGCTCTCCAGGGCGACGCCGGGGCTGGGGCTGCGCACACTGCTGGCGTACATCTCTCGGAGTAACCACAAAGGACGCTGCTCGGGAAGTATCCTGTGAGAGACGAGAGTAGAGTGAGTCTTGCATTGAGAAGAAGGTGCAATTGGGGCGTACCACTTGGCAAAGGAGTTTAGCGTGCTGGCCAGGCCAACCGCAAAGACCAGCCGGGTGAGCAGCGCCTGGCTGTAGATGCCGCACATGGGAATCACCAGATTGAAGAGGAATCTCGGCTCCAGGTAGACTGTGAAGAAGCGCCACAGTGGATCGCCAAAGCTCAAACTGCAAATACATGTATTACTCGTACTGACTCTGGAAGTGTGGCTCCACAAAGGACATCATAGCAACAGACCGCTCCTGCACCAATTCGTTAATGCGTAGCTCTGCCGTGACCACACGGCTGTAAGTTTCCAAAGCCAAATCCTTTAGATTTCCATCCATTTTTACACTTTTTTTCTATTATTGTTTTCCCTATCCTGTATCCTGAGTCAGCTGGCGGATCACAGTGCAAGTGTCAAATATACCGAAATATACCCTTGCATTTTGAAAAAATATACTGTAAATATACCGTAAATCTTAAATCATTTTCCTCGATTTTGATGTTCTGTTTGTTATTAATAGCTAGTTAGGATTCACAGCGCTCAAACTATATTTTTATTTGATTTATCAATGGATTCTGCACAAGATGGAATAGTTTTCCCGACTTCTCTTTGTTTTAATGCTTACAAATTAAGTTTTAAACTAAAAAGATCAACTAACAAAAATAGCATTAAACGGACGTGAGTGGGAATGGATTGCTACGTGTTTGACAATTTGTTTCTTGTCAACCGGGGGCATCGCCATCGCCATAACACATTGTAACAATATTCTAAAGAAAAGCTATCATTCGTTAAATGGTGAGTTATTAGGGTTTGTTTCTGAATTAATAAAGAGGGAATACCACCACTATTACTATCGATACTATCGGTCGTTTCCGTGTACAATTGTTTCAAAAAAATCGATAGAGCCAACAGATGATCGCCTTTTGCCTATGAATTTCATAACAAATACAATTTATAAAATATTATAAAGAAGTATTTCCTGTAAATGGAAAAACTGTATGGCAAAAACATCCTTGACGAATCCCTGAGCCTTCGAAACTACGTGCACATACATACATATACTTTTAAGAATAGGTTCCAGCATAAAAACGAAACTTCGATCGTATCTAGTTCGGCTACGAAGAGAAGCCAACAAATATTGCTGCACAAATCCAAACCCATTTCAGATTACGCAAAAACGGTCCGTTTGTATATCAACACATATTCGCTCTCGATTCGTATGTTTTGTATTTTCAGATTAATTGTAATTTTTAATAAATAATGCGAACGGTTTACAAAAACTGATAACAAATCATATTTCCAATAAATACACATACATACATACATATACACATATCGCATAAGTAGAGGCCGCTTCGTTGTTGTTGTTGTTGCCTTTGTTGCTGTTGCTGTTGCTGCTGCTGTGGTTGCTTCTGGCTGTATCAATGGAATTTCCAGCAGTTTTCATTATGAACTGCACTTAACAAATCTCGACTAAATTATGATTTTACAGAGTAAACTATGATTAACAGAGAGCGAGCACGTACCGTACAAAATTCGCCTAGATATATTAATGAATGAACCTTAAGAATAAAATTGTCTTTCGTTTAGAGAGATGCGCTGGCAGGGCAGGTATGTGTGGATGGATGGATCGCTTTAGCTGATGCTGATGCTGATGCAGACTTAACCAAAGTTCTCGAAATGGTGAATGAAATAGGGCAACTTTCGGGTCTTGTTCACTTCATCACAGGCAGACATGACGCTCTTTGTCAGCGGTCTTGGGCCGCAAGAGAAGACTCCAATTTTGGAAACCTGCAAAAAGGAATAAAAGCGAATTAAAGTAGTTATTAAAGCTCGAATGTAGAGTGACGAAAAACCCACATAAGAATGCTTCTTTTGGACGAACTTCAGGAAGCTGGACATGTCCGGCCGGCCGAAGTGATTGACCGCCTTGAGACCCGTGAATATGGAGGTTTTGG